TATGGAAAAGCGCAGACCCCGGCCAATTCGGAATATTTGACATACCGGCCGAGCCTCATCATCAAAAACCGTAACAAATACCCAAATTTTTAAAACAACTTTTAATATAATTTCTTACATATTTAAAACTAAATAAACCGTCGCAAACGCGCATACGGAAGTAGCTTCAGACGTACTTCACCCCAAACGGTCCCACCACAACTCGGGAGCACTTAATTTCACTCTATTTCACCTATAGATTAATTTTTTGTAAAAATCTCATTTTGCCCCGACCACACCCCCTGGCGACGAGGGGGTGTGGAACAACTCGGGAACACTTAATTTCACTCTATTTCATCTATAGATTAATTTTTTATAAAAATCTCATTTTGCCCCAACCACACCCCTGGCGCCTAGGGGGTGTGGCACAACTCCGGAACACATAATTTTACTCTATTTCACCTATAGATTAAATTGCACTAAAAATCTCATTTTGCCCCAACCACACCCCCTGTCGCCAAAGGGGGTGTGGTCCGGTTGCCCCCAAAAGTTGATAGGATCCTCCCCCTGGGGTCCTATGTATGATGGCGAAAACCGATTTCGATTATCTCGATCCGTTCTCCTGATATCCTGCTGACAGACAGACGGACAGACAGACAGACAGACAGACAGACAGACAGACAGACAGACAGACAGACAGACAGACAGACAGACAGACAGACAGACAGACAAAGTCTTCACATAAAGTAGCTGAAGCTACTTAATAATAACTTACTCCTGTAGACATAAAATTTGTAATAATTTAATATTATAAAAATTCCTATAATATTCATTCCTTAAAATGCTCTGAAATTGATTTTTTTTCAGAATTTATTTTCATTTTCACTCGAGTGCATATTAAAACATGACATGTTTAAACGACAATCGAGAATTGTAATAAAACGACGTGCATATTTAATTGTAATAATTAAAATACAAGTGAATTTTTTAAGCGCGTTGCCAAACCCTATCTAATTCCATTTTGTTATTTAAATTAACTTCTACGAAATAAATCAATGTCGCCAAACTCGTACATTTTAAACTAACTTATGCACTATATAAATCCAGTTTTTCACTCAGACCAGCACACGTTCATTCAGTCTCTCATTTATTTATTTTATCAAAATAATATGTTGTATTCGTAATTTGTGGTGAGAAAGAGTACAATTCGGCAATTCATACAGTACTTTGTAATTCAATACAATGTGTAAGTTTTGTAAAATGATTTTACTAAATTTTAACAAATGAAATAAAGGCGCCTTTGATCTGAGTATCTCTTTTAGAAAAATTGATAAGCTAATTTTCCTCAGGAATATTTCTTAAATTTCGTAACTTTATGGATTTTACGGATTTTACAATTTTAATAAGACCCGCGTGAATTGACTCATGAATTGTTTACACGGATGACGGAGTCACTTGAAATTTCCAGAATTCACGTTAAATATACGCTCAAACCGTAATAACATGTATGTTAATATTTGGCAGAAAATGGCGAATTACAACTTTACCTTATTATTTAACCCTGAATAAATAATACTAATGCAAAAAAATGAGGTGGAGTAAGGAATCATGCAAAAAATGGAAATCCTCACGCACGAGAGAAAACATATTCTTCCTTTTATCTGCTTTCTCTCTCACTTGCTCCGACAAGGAGCTGTCACTCTCACGCCAACAATACACAAATGCACAATTGGAAATAACCAAGTTTGGGGAAAAGACATGATTTCACTTTCACCACGACTTTCACCTCGTGAGAAAATTGGACCACTTTTCTCCCAAGGAAAAAAGTGTCTCATTCTATTTAAGGAAAGTAATTTATTCCTTGTGGAATGCAATGGGGGTAGTCAAGTCAAAGTTATTCGGGATAATAAAAAATTATCAAATATTAGTTTGCGAAAATGAAAATAATTCTATAATCGTCATAAAATTAAGATATGGATCCATGAAGGTTTAGACTTGCAAATTAATCATGCACTATTTTGCAAAGTTGTGGAAATGCTCTGAATTGTGTTTTCCAAAATTACATTGTTTTAAATATAATATATATATATTTATATATTATTATATTTATATATTCCCGAAAAAATTATGGAGACGTAAATATTCATAATTTTACTCAGATGGACTATGCGACAACTGGAAGTGTGTTCCTACGTAATTTTACATAATTTCTAAAAATATTGAAACACTACGTTTGGATGTTTGTAACCCAGCAAAATTTGTAATCTTCATACCTACAAAAAAAATTACAGAAATTTGCAACGAATCTTTCTCAACTTTGTTAAACAATTTACAAAAGTTACATATAATTTATTCGGTGCCAAACATTTACATTAAATAGTTGTTCTTTTTTAGTGAATTTTTCACGGTAGGTTTTATTTTTTAGCTTACTTGTCCTTTAACCTTGCAGGTACGAGTCAAATTAGCTTTCCGTGTGGTTTTATTAATTCCTAGGTGCCATTGTGAATATTGAATAGAAAATCTGAAGCGAAAATTACCAGATGTATATGTAAATTTTACGTAAATTGCTTACAAGTTGTAATTTAGTTGAGAATATTTTTCAATTGCTTTTAGTATCCAGAGGAGTTTCTTTGGATTTAATTATGAAGTAATGGATAATTTAGTTTTGCAAATTAAGTCTTAACGACGGAAAAGTCGCACAAATAATAATTTGAGTTATTACTTAAGAAACTCATATTTTAAAAGAATTAGATCCATAGGCAGAATATCGCTACATTAAATTTATAAAATTAATGATCGCATAATTATTTTGACAAACGACATTTGTTAATTTATTAACTTAAAATCACTCCTTATTGAACATAATTCATGAAAATGCCGAGTATTTACACCGAAATTGTGATGAATATCCCAAATAAACCCCATTTTTTATTCCTTCATTTACCTTTTATCCCATTCAACTCTCTGTATTCAAATCATCTCCAAATTTTATTATATTTTCACTTTCCTCTCGTCCCAGACAATATTTGGATTCCATGTTACGATCGTGATCACATCTTCCCATTGTTCCTTTCTTTCTCTGTGAATCTTTTGTGGTGGGGAAAGTTTGGGGAAAGTAAGTATCGTAAAACGCGCAATTTATAACTCTTTCAAATCCAAATCGAATCCAGGCCACAACTCACAATAAAAAGCACCCCACCTGGTTTTCCCTCCTCGTCCCACACTTTCACCACTCGGAGGACGAGGAATCACCAGGATCAAATAACTCAACGAACCATTGTTGCTAGTTCCCCAACAAACGAAATGTTCGTGTCTGCTTTCTCTTTTTGGGCGACTCGTTCTCTCTCCAGGACCAAATTTAGTAATCCTTTCTCCACGAAAACCACACTTTCCCTCATAAGCGAACAGGATGCATTGTGTGTTTGGGTTACAATAATATCTGAGGATTAAACACACACTAGGAAATTTGGAGGAACAAAATGTTTAAAAGAAAAAAATAAAATATGAAAATGAGAATTTGATATTTAAATTTAAGGACTTTTTTTCGAAGTAATTACAAAATTTTTTTAGCAAACGCAAACCTTAGGGTCATGAGATCATACAACTTTTCAACCTGCGAGCCAACCAAACCAATTATTTTTCCAAATGCCTGAGCAAGTGGGGAAATTTTAAAAATTATTTATAAAATTAACCCTTTGGTGTTTTGAAATCTTCTAACTTTTTCAACTTACCAAAAAAAATTAAGAAAAAATAATTTTTGTCGTTTTTATAATTTAAAATTATGTGTTTAAGGTCTTTAAGGGTTTGATATTTTCAGAAATTTTAAAAGTGTCAAAGAATTCAGCGCATTCAAATATTACGTATTTTTTTAATTTCAAATTTTCTACGTAGTATTATTTAGAGTGGCGCTTGTGGGTTTTACCATAAAACGAAATTCTGTTTCGAGCAGATTCTGAGAACAAAGAGGTGAAAGCAACAGAACGAGCAACGACCTCGAGTCCGTTATTTCACTTTTGCGAGGAAGAAGGGGAGCAGCGAGGCAGAAAGAGAAAGTGAGAAAAGTACATGGGAAACATTTCCTTTAGAATTTTACTCCCATTTCGCTCAGTTTTGGATGATATTGTTTTCAACAAAATTACAAAGTTGAGATAAAAAGGTGAAAGTTTGCAATAATTGCATGACTTCTGAGCCGATGTGAAATTTAGCCAGGGATTAATTGTTAAATTTAATATAGGTGTTATTCATGGGTGAAATTATATTTTCAAATATTTGTCTTCTTATGTTTTTAGAAATTTGCAAAATTGAGCAAATACTGCAAATTGCGTGTAACAATTTGTGAAATCTGAATTATTTGGGATGGGATAAAAAGCTGAAATTTCGCAATAATTGCATACTTCTGAGCGGATGTGAAATTTATACAATTTTGTAATTGTTGGACACATTTAATCCAGATTAAAATTCAGGGATGTCCAAATTTAATCGAGTATTTATATACTTTATGATTATAACGGCAAATATTTGTATTCTTCCTGGTCTTAGAAGTATTTATTACCACTCGAAATTGAAAAATTCAGCAAATTTTCCAAATTGGTGAAATTACTATTATTTCGAAAACACGGTTCAACCAGATTGTTATTCACACATGTTATTTCTCGGCCCTAATCTAAAATTCAAGGTCTTGCCATCCTAGTAAATTTGTTGTTTTACATATCCCTGTTTTGTAATTCAATTTTGCAAATTAAAACTTTCGCAAATAAGTAATATTACATATATTCTCGCCACAAATTGCGAATTAGAATTTTTTACAAATTTTTATGCAGTAATTAACTGCAGTACTGAACTGTACAAAAGTGAACAAAAAACATTTATATGAATGTATGTTCAAAGCCGAAACACGACCTAATATTCAATGATGTCAATTTTCTTTCGTTAAACAAAATATGCAAATTGAAAATGAAATTCCTTACAAACACTTGTTATTCAATGTGAACAAATAATTAAAAATATGGAAAGAAACTGACCTCTCTTAAGCCGGTGACATTTCCGACGGGAAATCCATCCCGGGAGACCCACTCGACTCGTGGTTGTGGGGACCCGTGCCCCCCACAGCGCAAACTGCCGCCCAATCTGCTACTGAAAGCGTATGAAGAGCTCCACTCGTCCAAAAAACGGGGCCCATTCTCATCCAGGGACAAGCTCCAGGCTGAAATTTTACAAAAAAATTGAAATTAATATTTGGTCTTCATGTATGCAACGTTTGATTTGAGTGATTGATAACTCTTAGAGAAATCTTATCTTAAATTTGTGTAATCTCAAGGCAAACGAAATTTTGAGAAAATTTATAAATGCGTAAAATAACTTGCAAGAATTTATGTTTCTGGTTTGGTTATGCAGAATATTAAAACTTTATGCATGCAAAGTTTCATAGCTGGAGATAAATTTCGTAAATGTTTAAAAATGTTCAAATTCGTGACTTCAAATCTCATCTAAAAATGGTATGACGATAATAATCTTACTATTAACTATTCAAAGACCAAGTTCCAAATTTTTCGTAAACCAAATTTCATTGTTCCTCCCTCTTTTACTACCCCACTCATTTTGGAGAATGGTCAAGCAATTGAGTATGTCAATTCATTCAAGTATTTAGGGGTAAACTTAGACTCCAATTTAAATTTTGGTGAGCATTACAACTCTCGAAGAAAGTCTCGAATAACTTAGGTTATTTGCATGGGGTCAAGAGTCACCTCACTGACAAAGTCATGGCCATCATGATTAATAGCCATATACACTCTGTTATTGACTATAGTGTAGATATTTGGGCTATTCATCCTGACATAAAACTAGACAATATACAACGAAAACACGCTAGTTTCATAGTTAGTGGTCAATCTATCAATATTAATGACTTACTTGTTAAATATAATCTTTTAACAATTCGTGAGCGTCGTGATCTCTTTCTGTACAAATATGCCTTCAGATATTTGCAAGATTACAAGAGTTCTTCTTCTACTAGACGCACGTGGCCCCTTCTCACCGTTCATTCTTGTAATTTCGCTCAAAAGTCCATAAAATATCGTGCTATTGCACTTTGGAATAAGCTCCCAAGAGATTGGGACCCAAAGATGAGTTACGCCCAATTTGTTAAAGCCGTGAACTCATTATTTTTAACCGTAATGATATGTTTTTTTACTATTAGTTATTTTAGTTCGCTTACATAGTTATATTGCTTATTTGTGTCATAGAATTTAAACCAGTTTTTGTAAACTGATTTCTATTAACACTTGAATAAAGGTCTAAATCAAATTAAATCAAATCAAGTTGTTTGTAATATTTAATTTTGTAAACGTCCTCCTTCATACCTAACTTTAATTATATCGTATTTTGTTTCGTCTAAAATTCTCATTTTCGGCACCTCACATAACCAGATAAGTATTATTATCTCGCAATATTTCGCAATAATAATTTTCGCGAAAGCATGATTACATTTAATGAAAGATGCCAAAATGCATAACGTGAATTCACCCCCATTCACCCGAACATACGAACCTCATTTGAATACCAATTAAAATTTATTATTATGAATTTCTCCGTAATTTTGAAAACAAAACAAAATACGGAGTTTCTCTTTGGTGATTCAGGTCTAAAATTTGCCCTGGGCCGGAGAGAATTCCCAGCACATCAATATTCCACGCTGTTCTGGTTCCTCTCTCGCTTTCACCACTTTCACCACTATCTCTTTTCGCTGGTCGAGTGGAAATGCAAATACAAATCCATACACACACTCTTCTTCGCGTTGTCGAGGCAGAGAAAATTCGGAAGGGGCACGCTTAAAAATTTGGGCTATATTTTGAAACCAGCCGATTATAATTAATTTTAGGTCGTGCTACCAATTTGGTAATAATTCGTTTCACTACCAGTGCATCGAATACTATTTTTAGGCCTTTTAAGATGGCCTTATAGATTTACCAAGATGTCTGTCTGTCCGTCCGTCTGTGCGTCCGTCTGTGCGCACGATAACTCTCTTTAAACACAAGCTATCGACTAGAAATTTTGCACACTTCATCTTCGGGTCAAAAGTAAGGATGAGTTCGGAGATGGGCATGATCGGCCAAGTAGTTGGCCAGTGGGGGTCTTTTCCACCCAAATGTGTTGCCATTAACTACCAAGATGGCATTAATGCCATCTTAAAAGGCCTCGCAAAGTTGCTTAAAGTAGGTTTTTTCAATGTTATGATTTATTGCGACTTTCTTACGATTTTTTTACCACATCGGTTTTAAAATTTTGTAACACGAACAATTTTACACCGTATTTTTAAGAGTAGGAACTCGTAAATTCGAAGAGTACTGCAAACACGGCACCTTCTTCTGATGAAACAAGTGAAACCGGTAAACAACAACCGCAGCGGGGTAAAATCCATCCGATTCAGCATCATTTCATCGTTCCACCCGGCATGGTAAACATCAGGGAGGGTGCGGACAGCATTACGGTGCTTTCTCCACTTTCACTCTTTTTGAAATAACAAAATTAGCACGAGTTAAGATTTTTTAGGGACATTTTTTTGAAAGAAAAAAATGAAAAAAATTCAATTTTTCACGGATTTCTTTAATTCCTCCTGTTTTTCTTTTACCTGCAGGGCAGAAATTGGTTCATTGATAAAATTTATATAAAAATTTGACTACCAAATTCTCAATAAAATCAGAAGACTCTTGGTAAATAATGTTGTCAAATAGGATAACTCGCCCCATTTTCACCGCCATGGAAAACATTGTCTTTATCAAATTTAGCAGCATATCAACCTGTATGGAAATCTTGTTTATTCTGCACAGTAGGAAATTTATTTATTGGTACATTTAAAGTTTGCACAAGTGCAGGAAAAACTTGCATGATTTTGCAGAAAATTTCTGTCTATGTTACAGAACAGTTCGTGCATTAACATAATTCTTCGTAATTTATTTATGCACATATCTGCCCGTATACAATTTTCTGCAGAAAAATCCGGCAACTTTTCTGAGTGAAATGGGGCCGTAATTGTCATACGGGAAAATTGCTACTTAATTTGCATCAATTACCAAAAAATTGTGAAAACTTCAAAAGTTCCGGTATCGCCATGGACTTTCACCATATTAAAAATTCACTACTTTCTCTTTAACCAGATTCCTAATATTTCAAAAAAATAATTGACTCCTAAAATTCCTGAGAGTAAAGATCGTTCTTTCTCCCCTAATTTTCTGAACTCATAATTTTCAAAAACAACAAATTAGATTATGATTCTTTCATCTCTAAAATGATAACGGCGCCCGCTTTCATCGTGCATTATGTTACTACCCATCATTCACGCAATATCTTCGTTCCCCCACCTCGACCGGAATAGAGCCCGAGAAGGAAATGAAATCCAAACAGAGAGACGAAGTGAAAGTGAAGTTGCAGAGTTGGGCAAACTACAGTGAGGGTCTTTACGTCAGCCTTTGTAACCACGTAAATTTACGAACTTTTGACGAAACTTCGGAACATCTCGAATGCAATTTTTGCTTATGAACTTACACAACCGAAGATAAAAGGGAAACTGTTAGAAATATGGTGTAGTCACGTAGTTAGGCATTAATTTCTCAGTATAAAAGTTACTACAGATTGATATTAAAATTATACCGGTCCGTAAAAAAATTTACTACCGATATAGTGAAACTTAAATACCGAGTTATTACTATAATGTATTACTTCTCAATACCACTTTCGTAGAGTTAAAGATGAATTCCGCCTTTGATATTATTTTAATACCGGGTTTTAAAGAGTGCATATTTTTGGTTCGTAAGCTGTTCTTCGTAACATTACGTGGTTACGAATTTATGATGGCTGGCGTAAATTGCCCCACTGTATTTTGACAAAATATTTTGCCCTCTGTGAATTTGTTGGAGAAAGGAGTCGTTTCAACATTTCATTTCATATTTGCTTTCACTTCGCCTCCCTTTACTTCACTTCACGACATTATCCTATCCGATCGGATAGGATAATGTCGGATAAAAACGGCAACCCTAGAAGTAGACAAAACAAATGCCACATCTCATCTAAAAATATATAATTTTTCCTCCTCCGCCAACTTTTTTCCATAATGAAATCGACTCGGACGCATAAGTAAAAGATAAACAATCGAAGAAAGTGGATCTACTTTCACTTATTGCGTAATTTTCACGTTTCAACGTTACGTAAGCAAAGTAACTCATCTACTTTCAGTGAAAGTGCACATCCTTGAGCCCGGTTTGGTTTGGTTTGTCGTGAGTGAAGGCTTAGACTTTTGGACAGTTGGAGAGTGGGAGCAGAATTGTATTGTCTCATTAAAATTTGAAGAGATTCGAAGAATTGGAATTGTGTAGCGATCGGAATGAACGAGTCGGGTTGAAGTGCACCCTTCAAATCTAATTGACACTGACAAACAGAAAAGAGGGAATGCAGCCAAAATAGAAAATGCTCTCTTTCGCCCAACTTGCTAAAGCCCGAGCTGGAGTGGATTTGATTCGTAAACGGCGTAAATTTTAGAAATTATATAAATAACTTGAAGACGACAACCTGTTCGACCAGTTTCCCGTTTGACAACGAAAAAGAAGCATCTGTCGATTGCATTATACTTATGAAGCCCTGTGAAAAATTACAAATGGCGCGTAATTTATTCAACTTGTGAAAAATAATGGGATATAAATACCTTCATCTGTTTACAAAAATTTGTTCCCTAATTTTTCTTCGAAATATTTGAAACATTTGTAAAAGTTTGTAAGGTTACGGAATTTACTGATTGTACGATATTACCAAGGCTCGCGTGAAGCCGTGAATTGCCTCAATATGTGACAACTAATCAACTAACACTATTTCCGAGACCTACTGACTGACAGACATTTCAGTCATATAAGTAAGTGCCTTGATGTTGATCCCACCCAAACAAAAATCTGTTTCGAGTTCTTCGAGTTTTACTTTACTTAAGGCATCGTACACAACGAATGTGATCAATTTTTACTAAATCTTTACAACCATAATTACTATTCGCTAAAAAAATATTTTTTCTCTCCGAACCATCCCAGCGTTTGGGTGGCAAGGAGACCCGTTTCCCGTACTTTTATGTATTTGGAATTTCCGCGAATTAAACGAGATCAAACAAGACACTTAAAGTTACGCGAATTTATCACGCTGTCACTTTAACTTTCACCTTCCGACATGACACACGGATGGGGATCGTCCTCCCACGCGCAATATATTTCTGGATGGCTTTTACTTTGCTAATTGCGTGAGGGAGCAGCCGGAGGGAATTGGCTAATAATAATACGATTTATTTGAATGCATGCAAGTTTTATACTTTACAGGAAAAACGACTACATCTGGGGAAAATTTTTTGTAAGAACTTTGTCCAAAAAAATAAAATATGTCGTCCAACCTGCCCAAAAAGTATAATTTTCACTTACGTGGTTTAAAGTATCAAATTCTTTTCGGAATGAGTGAAAATGAGCATTCGCAAGTGTTCGACACTTAAAATGTGGTGGAAACCTGCAACCTTGCAGATAATGAAAATTTGAATAACCAGAAGAATGTGTTTCAGATCTTCCAAATATATTAGCAAAAAATGATATTCAAAAAATCAAAAATATGTCGCGCCACTTGTCCAAAATTTGTACTGAAGGGTTTTTAGCACACTGTTTAAAATCTGGTGAAGTCAGATATATCCTCTGTACAGGTATTGGTTAGATAATAACTTCCTACCAGATTAATGTCGAAGGTCAATGGATTGCAGGTGTATTTTTTGGATATGTTAAAATTCTGCTTTAATTCGTTAAAAGCAAAATTAAGCGTTAAATTTTTAGATTGAATATTTTAAGATAAATTTATTTTCAGGAAATTAATTTATCTGGATACATGCAAATTTTATTGTGCCACGTATGTGTTACTCAAGCCGAAAAATTAAACGCGGGAGACAATTATTGTGTAAGATATGTGTCCAAAAAAGTACAAAATGTGCCAAAAATTCTAAAAATGGTTAATTTACTTATGGTATGCTTTAATTCGTTAGAAGCAAAATTTCGTTTCAATTTCAGATGGAACGTTTTGCAATAAATTTATTCTCAGGAAATTTATTAGTTTGAATACATTCTTTATAAGTTTAATGCTTTACTCGAAAATTCACCTACAGAAGAAATCTGCCAAACCTTCAACCGAATAGTGATGTTTAAAAAAACATATATGTCGCCCAACGTATTCAAGGTTCGCAAGCTTTTCTTTTCTTTTCGTAACCTTTACAAACGTGTAGAAATATTTTTGCTCGTGGAAATTACCTTATAAGGTTATCATGCATTTGCTGCCTGTCGCTCGTAATTTCGAAAATTTATGTAAATAAACCGTCGCAAACGCGCATACGGAAGTAGCTTCAGACTTATTTCACCCCAACCACTCCCACGACATCGCGGGAACACTTAATTTCACTGTATTTCATCTACAGATTCAATTTTTTCAAAAATCTCATTTTGCCCCGACCACACCCCCTGGCTCCCAAGGGGTCTGACACAAGTCGGGATGACTTAATTTCACTCTATTTCATATATAGATTAAATTGCACTAAAAATCTCATTTTGCCCCGACCACACCCCCTGGCGCCAAGGGGTGTGGTCCGGCTGCCCCCAAAAGTTGATAGGATCCTCCCCCTGGGCTCCTATGTATAATGTCGAAAACCGATTTAGATTATCTTGGTCCGTTCTCCCGTAATCCTGCTGACAGACAGACACACAGACAGACAGACAGACAGACGGACAAAGTCTTCACATAAAGTAGCTGCCGCTACTTAATAAACGATGATAATTTTAATTAATATTCCCAGAAATTTGTGTCAATATGAAAGAACTGATGCTTTCATGAGAACTACAAATTCGGAGGAAAAATGATTCCTACATTCCAACCAGGTAAATAGTTTAATTATACGTTCGGTCATGACCCACTTGCATTCATTTTGTACTCGACACGTAATTTTACGAGCAAATAAAGCGAATGGGGGCACGGAATGCGAATAAAGTTTACATTTCACATTGGTTCATATTAGCAAAATGATGAGAACGATCTTTTGTGCTGTTTGTTTTTAGATGCACTTTTATTTTACTTAGGGCGCTCGTTCATCCCGTGGAAAAGACAGTAATGCAATGCAACAAGCTAAACTGGTGGATATACGGAAATATGTACGAATATATGTAAAGTTTAGGGTTCTGGATAATATAGCTACAGAAACTTTAAAAAACGATAACTTAGGCAATTCACCCTGATAATTTTGTAAAATTCGTAAATTTTGAAAAATAATTTTGCAAACTTTTATAAAATAAAAAGACGCCCTTGTTTGTAACGGTGTCACTTTTTAATAGAAAGGCATATCTAAAAATGATTAGATGTATATTCAAAATTAGACTTCTCGCCAAACTTGGTACGCTTAATATAATTTTGAAAAAATTGCCACCAATTACGAAATAAATTGGGAAATCTTAATTTAGACGATATCAGAATGTTGTGGGAGTTAGACAACGTTTTAGTAATTACAAACCATTTATGTGATTAAATGTTATACAGATACTTTATCCGTGACCACAAAGTTAATATGACGAACTTATCTGCAAGTTTTGCAAATAATGTTACAAAATTTTAAGAAATTACGACATGATAAGTTGACGGTTAATCTGTTGTTCTTCTTCTGCAAATTTTTTTAAACGATTTGTAAGTTTACGAGTAAAGTAAAAGTGATCTATAACGGTGGAAATTTTGCAAAATTATTTCACCAAATTCTAGCAAATTACCTTATAAGGTTATCATGAATTTGTTCCTGTCCTTCGTAATTTCGAAAATTTATGTAAATAAACGATGATAACTTTAATTAATGTTCCCCTTCCTAAATATTTAGCAGATAAAATAAAATGTTCAAATTATAGTTTGCACATTTATCCCCACGAAACCCTTGTCGTATATCCATGCAATGAGAAGGATCTCATAAAAGAGAAAGCTGCTCCTAAAAAAACCTCTCATCTTTCCTTGTGTATATCTCTCCCCAAAAACGGCGCTGGCGTAAAAAAACAATGGCGAAAAGAAGAGGAACAAAAGCTCGGATGAAATTCATAAAGGAAACAAAAGCACAATAATAATCCTCCAAAGTCGACTTTATCGTTATCTCTGCCGCATTTCGATGGCTTTTGGGTGGAGGAAGGGAAACATTGAAAAATTTATTTATGGAGGGTATTCACACTAAATTTGTAAACCCTGAGATGTTTGTAAGGGAATGGAAACATAAATTTCTGCGAGTTTCCCACACAGACGGTAAATTGGGGAACATTTACCAAAAGCCAAATCAAATTAACTAAATAATAAGTTACAATTTTCCAAAATATTTAATTATACTTTAACCGAAGTTCATGTTCAAAAATTTGTTTTGCTCAATTCGATAATGTGCGAACAAAAATTACATTACAAATCGTTGTCGAATTCCATTCTATTTGATTTCATTTCATTTAATCATTACTTGGAAAATGCGAACATATTTACCTTTTCTTACAAACAATTAAGTTCCACATTTGTTAATTTTTGTAACTGACGTGGAAGTATGTCAAAAATTATTTTAAAGAAATTGTTCAATTGCAGGCTTAAAGTTGCATATGTTGCTTCATGAATGGCCAAAATTAGAGTTCAAAATTTACAAACAATATTTTGTCAATTGTACTTCATTAAATTTCTTTGACCAGTATTTGAATAAATTTCAAATTAAATTTTTCTCAATGTAACCATTTATCTAGTTGATTTGGTAATGTTTACAAAAATTAAATTACTTGCCGAAATAAGTCTTATTCTAATCCTAATTGTTCTAATCCGTCTAATCTAAATTTTACAAAATTGCATAAAATCAACTAATTTTCGTCATTTTGTCAAAAATTCTAAATTTTTAGCCGGTGATGATTTGTTTCGAATTCTGGACAAATTTATTTAGTATTTTATACTCCTTACGCACTCTGCCTCTTTTTCATGACGCCATGAAATTCAAGATACGCGAAAAACCAGGAGGAAACCAACCACGACTAAACAACTGACACGGACGAGACGCATCATAATTCTGTCTCTAGTAACATCCCTTTCCTGCTTTCACCAACTTTCTCCACGCGAACCGCAAAGTAAGAGAAACCGTAATAAACATCTTTCTTTGAGAGTGACGTGACACTTTGTGAGTTTTGTGGTTTCCCTGCTAATCTGTCTGCACCATTGTCGTGGTGTCTCTCGTAGTGTTAAATAATTCTCTTAAAGAGTGAAAGTCGGTGTGAAGATGGTCTTCGTCGTTGCAGAACCACTTTCACTCCACTTTGGTCTCCGTCCTCATTTGGGAGCGACAAGCATAAACAAACACGTCGACAAGAGAATAAAGTTCAAGTTCCATTTTTATGTGATGTGATCACGTGATATGATGTGGGTTTTACGGGGTTAGGAAAAATTGTGACAAATTTAATATTTTTAATGAAACGAGAAATCCTTAGAATTAAATAAAATAAAAATTTCTTAAAAACGAAATTCTGTGTAACTAATTATTACAAGCTTTAGAATATCGAAAAAACTGGTTAGAGATCTTATTTATTAGTGTTTCAATTATTATTTTTTGAATAATTATCTATGGCGTTGAACTTATTTGAAAATGGAAGTAGAGTTAAATAAATAATTTAAATGATATAAAATATAAGGAATCGATTACTTATTACTAAAATCGTTCAAATCAACACGTTTTTAATCGTTTCTAGGCCATGGAAATTCATTTTTCAATTCTGGACAATTTAATGAGCTTTGAGAAAAAACGACATTCTTATCTACGATTTACAGATGTACCTAGCTTGCAAAATCTTACCTTGACAAAGAGTCAGCTCGAGAAACAGAAGCGTTGCATAAAAAAGATTCTTCCCCAGATTTGAGTTGTACTTGAAATTTCGAACCACCCGTTTCGTATCGGATTTCACTTTCACTTCGAGCGTTGGTTTCACCATTTAACTTGCTAATTTTTATACTATTTCTTGTAACTTAAAATATTTAACCGTAAAATTATGTTTTAGTAAGGCCACGCAAAAATTTCACAAAGGAACGGTACACAAATAGAATAAATTTTGGTATTTATGACGCACTTGTTTGCCCAATAAAAAACTTTGTAGTAGCGATTCTCAATTTTTGCGTCGCTATTTTATTTACGGAATGTGAAACAGTCGAATCTGCCCGAAACACATGCAGAGAACAGTATTTATTTTATAGCGAAGCTAGCACCATTTAATTCAGTTTCACGTGAAATTAATTAGGAATTAGCATTAAACAGATGCTGCCTACTTAAAATTACATGTCACTTATAAAATGTAATCAAGTCAGGCAATTGGAATTAAAAATCATGAAAAATACCCAGGAATACAGATTTATATATTGGTATAGCTTTGACGACGTTTCTAATTATACAGAAACTCGATAAATAAAATATCTTGAAGCAGATTCGTGTAGCTTCTTGAAGAGATGAGTAACATTCGTCATGGGAAAATAGTAAATTACGTGCTCGACTTAGCAATTAAAACTAAATTTTCGAAAACGATTTTTGTTTATTTGCATGTACTCCAGTTAATTTTAGGGTGCCCCATAGTAAAAAATAAATAACGCTAATATTCATATCACACACCTTTCGGAATTTAAACAACTCATTTATTTTCTACAAACACAGAAACTCCTCAGTTGAAAAAAAGTGCACATTAATTTACATCATTTGACACAATTTATTATTGGATTTTGCATTGTTTTGAATTTTCACGAGAAAATGGAACCCGTCAAGAATGACACATAAGTTCAACCGATGTTGTCAGTAATTTACTGATAAATTACAAACACATAAATTTATCACTGATATTGAGGAGTGAGATTCACGTTATCTGACGAAGAGTAAAGTGGAACTGCGATGAGACGAGTTGTTATCCATCGAGCGAGTGAAAGCAGACTGACCACGAGCCGACAACTTTCTCCACTTTTTTTTTACTATCTACCCACCAAAACTGTGACAGATTCTGAGCAAATTGGAGGCACGATCGTTCTTCTTTATTCCAATTGGGATATTAATTTGTGTTCTTCAGATTTCTCCATCATAGGTTCATTTTTATCTAATTTTCGATGACGTTGAAACCAAAATTTTAACAATTGCAATTTTCGGAACAAAGTGAAACTCTTTTTTAAAAAAAGAAAAATTTCTATTTATATGTTTTTCAGATTTTTTCATCGTAGGCTTCTTTTAGTTTTAATTTTCGGTACGTATTTAGAAACCAAAATTTTAACAATTTCAACTGAAGCACTATTTTCAAGGTAATTTGGTGAAGCTTGAGTGTAATTTTAGCTGAAAGTGGATTTCGTCATGACGAGTTTGCGGAGGCCGAGAGCGAGAAGTGCGAGTTGTTCGCTTCGAGCGAGTGAAAGCAGACTGAGCACGTGCCCACAACTTTCTCCACGTTTTAAGCAATGCACCCACCGAAACTGCCCGGTTCAGGGAAGAGAGATAGAGAGCCCCAGTCCATAGATGAGAGATTGTGTTGCAGCAGCACTCTATATAGATAGCGCATTTCAGAAGGGAACGGTCAGGGGAGGGGCGGAGCTAAGCAGCAGGTGGCACATCCTACTCCTACTTTCACCCAAATCTGCGGCAATCTCAAATCACACTCACCTGCTTAAAAATGTTTACTCTTTTTCATTTCATACGAAAAATGTTAATTAAAATTAAGAAAACAAATATTTAAAAGATAAACTGCTTGATTCTAAACGTATTACTTATTACTATTAAAATTCCATAACGTTGCAACATAAATATTCAATGTCTGGATCGTGGTAAACGCATTTTTAGTTAAACAAAACTGCAAATCTTCCCAAGGGTGAGTAATTTGGAAATAAGTCGTCTCAAGTGTCAAAATAATGATTAAATGTTCTTTTTTGCAGTTTATCAATATACTGCTTATTACGTTTACGACACACGGGTCGTGTACCTATCGTGGAGTTTGTGACTAGGCTGGTTTGCAGATTATTTATTACATACATATAATCAAAAATTGCTCCGCAAAATACCACACCATTTACATGGATTTAATTCTGGTGTAATTTGTATTATTTAGAGCATTGTGACACGCTCTGGGTCGATAAATCCTCCAACTCACCATCCAGCAATACGCCAAAATCCTGCAATTTTTAGCCAGCTTAAATTCATGAAAATTGTGGTGAGAGTTCAATTATGTTTCGTAATTATATATGTCTTTGCTATTAAAGTATTTTCATTCATTTTTTTAGCTTAGCCAATTATTCTTGAAATATTCCATTTTGCTTCAAATCATGAAATCAAATCATGAAATCTAAATTCAATTAAATTAGGCTTCTTTTTTAATACTGACCGAAGCAAGAAAAGATTGAATAATTAATTAACTATAACTGATTATGCTTTCTAGATTGCACCCTTCACCCACCACCCAAACTGGTCGGCCCCTTCCTGATTCAGTTCTGCATAACTGTCAATCTCGTCATTCGCAAGACTTAAATTGACGAATCGTCTCTTGGACTAGTGTGACCACTCAAGGTACCCTGCTCAATCACATTACATGGCAATCCTTGCCATATTCTATTTTATATGCCATTTTAACGTGATAAATTAATTATGCAGGGGTCAAATCTGTCGATCTGGTTGGGCTTGTTGTTTGGAGTTTTAGGAAGGGTTGAAGACCTCCATCGCAGTAACGGTGGCAATGTAATGAACATGAAGTATGTACATGTATGATTTGCATTACAAATTGGTGCATCGTTATTTTGCAGAAAAATGGTTCATTATTGTGCATTTTCCGGGTGTCAAAATGTGCGTGAGGACAAAAATATTAAATTTTTCACGTTCCCTTCAGATATTAATAGGTAACGTCATCTATAATTGGTGCTGCAAATTGATGTGCTATTTCTAAATTTCTGTATTACGAACTTTAGATGTTTATTATGGTGCACAATCCTTGGTTTGGATCATTCGCCACCAAGTATCACAAGCATTCAGAAAAACAAGCAAATTTGTGTCAACCACTTCTAGTCCTCCGACATTCTTCCAACTGGAAAACTAGCGCCAACCGCTGTTCCAATTAAAATTACAATTAATGCGCCTAGGCCTGCCTTGTCAAATAGTAGCATTGGAAATTTACAAAATCAATCGACTTCTACAACCGTAGTAGGTAAATATCTCACCCCTGCCAAATTATATTATTTATGTTTGTGTAAATTTAATTGCAACTTCTCTTCCCTAGAATATTCAAATTCTCTGCTGGACAAAATTAAGCTACGGGATATGGAAATCGCAAAGCTTAAGCATCAGATTACGAAGCTCACGACCGAAAATAAGAGACTGACCACTAAATTTATGAAAATTAAGACTACCATAACACCTGTGATGATTTCTAGTCATTTTGCAAAGTCACCAAGTATGGCGGCCTTCATGCTGATGCAGTTCAATCGATATGATAACCTTCATAGCAACGCCCATTACTCTCCTCTTGAGCAGACAATTTGCATTTCGATCCTACACTCATGCAAACAAAACGGATACAGGTAGATTTGCTTAATCTTACTCGCCATTTAATTTTACTCGCCAAGGGACAGAACTTTTGTGCTTATTTGTTTTCCCATTTAATCTTTTAGAACACTGCAAAATCTTGGATTGAAGTTGGCGGACTTGAGCACAATTCGACGGTGGCTCAAAAAAATTTTATCCAAAATTGAGTGTCAAACTTGCCTATCCATGCTTGAGTTCAGAAGCCAAAGAGAAACTCCAAAGCTTGCCGAGGACGAAACTCTTTTACTGCACAGATCATTTAGTGATGACATCCTTGAAAACGAGGACAATCTATGTTATGCCCATCTTTTAAAACCAGAAATGAAAGAGATGTTCCATGCGCTCAACAGAAGATTTGGGGACAACTTGTGCTCATCATTAAATTTAGGCACCAACGTAATGCGTAACCTGGTGAGAAAGTTGAAGGAACTTCCGATCGTGTCAGATTTTTTCAACGCCGATGGAAATTCACAATGTCAAGGATACCACAGACAAATGTTGGAGTTATTCCTACGGGCTGGAATTTACCGGTACTTTGAGCAGAAATCCGACGAGTTGAGAAGCTACCAGGCAAAATCAGATGGCAAGGTCGATTCTGCCGTGTGAATGCAGTACTGAAAGCTGGGTAAATTATTTTACACAATATATATTTACCTTATAGCTATATTTTCTACTTAACTATTTGTACTCCTGTGGAGGACTTTTTTCTGCTACGGTCTCCCTTGAACATTTGTATTTTTAACTTGGTAATTTTGAATTTTAGGAAGTCCTGCTGGTCTATGCAAAAGATGAGAAACGTGTCGGCAAAGGATCGTCAACTGGTGATACCATTGCGACATTAGATTTTAACGACTCTGTGCATGAAAACATGTTCTGGGCCTGTTCAGTTTCCGGGCTAGTGAACCTGAGAGAATACGTTGCCATTCTTAGCTCTTATTGTTCTAAAAAAATAATCGAATGACAATTGTGAAAAGGTAAAATTGATTAATACCGATTTGCTATATTTATGTATTATATGTACTGCTCGCGCCCACACTATTTACAAAGTTACTATGCATTTAGAATTGAAGGAGAAACAGATCCTTCGGTGGTGCTCCCTTGACTTCACCAAGGTGTTGCTGACAATGAAGATTTCCTTGTCGCTGCAAGACAGGATCGCTATGAACGGAACATGACGCAACATTTACGTCAGCAGCAGGACGAAGCCTACTTACAAAGTTTAAAAGCTGATCAGGAAAAGGAGAAACGAAAGAAGGAGGAATTAAAGAAATTACAGGAAGAAGAAATGGAAAAACAACGAAAAATCGACGAAGAAATTCAACATATTGAGGTGTGTGTGTATTGTAAGTATTATTAATAAGTAGTTAGTTCTGGAATAACAAATATCCTATGTCTAATCCGTTTAATATGTCGTACAAAAATTAAACCTTTTGTTTTCTTTCTACAGGATATTAAACGGCAGAAAAAGGAAGCTGGTGAAGCACTGAAGATGGAACTCCCAGTCGATCATCCCGACACTATCCGTACCATAATTAAGCTTCCAACTGGTACAAGACTGGAACGACGTTTTCTTTAAACAGATTCACTATCGGTAATTAATTATTATTTATTTCTACTTCTTCTCTTCATGAAAATAATATTAATGGATTTATTTGTTTTTGCTTTATATAGCATCTCTACCAGTTTGTCTTTAGTCATGCCGAAGCACCCAACAATTTTGATATCGCCACAAACTTCCCCAAGCGCAGTCTTCCTTGCAAGACGACGTCCAAAGGCAATCCAACTCCTCCGACCTTCATGGACGTTGGATTAGGCAAAAATGAAATGTTGTTTGTATATGATTTAGAATCATAGTTTATTAGTTTTAATCATCGTAATGGCTTAATCGTCACCTCAATCCCTGATATCTCAATTAATTATTCTAGCAATTCATTTTATAGTCATTTTAATTTCGGTTTGGTGCGTAATTTTATTGCTCGTAAATCAATCCCAATTTTTATCAAAGAGAATATTTATTAGATATTCCCTTCGTGTCGTCGTATGTTATTAGTAAGATCAAATCTTGAAACGTATCGACGTCATCACATTGTATTGTATCCAGCATGTTGTTTTTAGAATTAAACTATTTATTTAATTTTTAAAGGTCCTCCAAGATTCGAACAATTGCATAATTTATTTTACTGCATGAGAAAGTTTGTCAACAAGTCTCATATTTACCAAATTCTCATGTTGCCCTGAAAGTGGGCTGTAACTTTCGGGCAGTTTTGCCCGAAAGTGCAGCCCCTTTTTTAACATGGCAAGAATACAACTGCCTGTTCCATGTAGACTGGGGCAGGGAAGAGAGATAGAGAGCCCCAGTCTACATAGAGTGCTGCTGCAACACAATCTCTCATCTATGGCCCGGTTTAGGGTCTGAATAAGGTGAAGGTCGTCTGACGAGTCTGGCTCATTGCTCCCTCAGTAGAACTAGTTACTCTCGAATGACACGCTGGAAAAAAAGTGGTGACAATGAAGACGCAAAGTAAGGACAAGTATGCAAAACTGGGGTCACTTTAGATGCACTATAAATATGCAAATTTCCATTACTTATACGACCTCTAAGCACTTTACGTAAACATTTCTCACTTTTCCATTGACAGAGTCTCTCACCGTCACTTCATGTCAAGCCACACTTAAAATTTTAAAAATATGATATTTTCATCCTATTTCTGAATTTTTATAAACCCAAAAAAAGATAATTTTTTGAAAATTAAAAGTGAAAAATGATTTTTTTTTATTTTCAGGGATGCAATTCTGAACAAAAAATGGGTTTATTTTTTGAAATCGGGTTAAAATTCGAAAATTTACAGTGTTTTTAAAAATGCGAGTTTTGGCTGAAATTTTTTTGAAAATTCCGCCAAGGGCGTAAACACACCCATTCCGAAAAACGAAAAAATACGGGTCCACTTATTTTTGAACGTGAACAATTTGAAATTAGTCCGGTGGATATCGGCGATAACCACCTCACACCGTCGCATTGTTAGTAAGAACTACTCCATCAGAAAAGCAGAAACTTCTACTCCGGAAACAATAACAGTGTTTTGGTTGGATATTTTGCTTTCGAATGATGTAATAACATTTTATTTTCACGTGTAAAAATTATACAAAGCGTGAGATAACCACGCATCTTATCCGTTAATGGCGGATTTAAAGTTTTTTTTAAATTTATCATAATTTAGAAGGATATTTTTATACATTTTGATAATTATATTCTTATATATCACGAATTTAAGAAACTCAAAATAGTTATGCACAAAATTTCATAGATAGGCTTCTTTATAAAAAGTTGTATATAAAACTTTATATAAATTTCACAATTTGTTTCATTTCATAATTTCATAATTTTTTATCGTTTGATAATTTCAAAATTTTAAATTCACGAATATTATTCACACAACAAACAATGTCAGACATTGATAATTTTGCAGTTTAGGAAATCCGCAAGAAACGAAGCATCGTGATTTAAGCTGAATTTCCTCCTCCGAAAATCATAAATTTTTATCATAAATTTTTTCACAATAAATTTGCTTTCTCCCGTCGCCTGGTGCCCCCACTACTCGTGTCAAACATCGATATGGAACCCTCCCTTATTTTTACTTCGACTTTGCCTTTGTTGTTTCCCCTGATTTCGCTTCATTGAAAATGCTTTCGCTCCAGGAGCATCGTCATTGCCGTGAAGAAGCTGATCCTCCGTGTCGGAAAATTTAGGGGGCGGTTGCGCCGTCGTGGTGAAAGAAGTCTCCTCCGTGTGCGAGGAGTACCCAGAACTGGACCGGACGCGCGGGATGATTTGTCCGCCGCCCCCACTATTTGAAGATCCCGAGGTGGACTTGTTACTACTTTTGTGGCGTTGGTGGGGGCGCCCCGCGCAGTAAGAGGCGCGACCTCTTTTGCCCGAGGTGCGACCCGTGGTGGGCGAAGATTCCTCGTCCAGGGAGGAAGAAGAAGACTCCATTTCTTCCGAAGTGGGGATGTGATCTGTGAGGGAGAGAAATACATTTTTAAGTTTAAAGCTATGCGTGCAGGGAGTATTTACAATGGAGGTCTCCCAGCGTATGATCTCAGATTTTGAGAAAATTAGTGTCCATTGATTACAAATTTAATTAGGATGTAATTAGCTAAAGACACGATCTCCCAAGGGCACGTTTGCCACAGATATGTGCATCCGAAGAGGAGAAAACACCCAGTAAATTTGGAAAGTCTAAAATTCTTCGACTTCATAACGCGTTTTCTCCTCTTTGGATGTAAATATCTTAGCCGAACGTGACGCTTGGGGGATCGTGTAACTTCATACTTATTAAATTTGTGATCGAGGGACAATAGTTTGGCCAAACTCTGGGAGTATACACACGCTGGGAGGCGTCCACTGCTAATGCAAATTCGAACAAAAAGTTTTACTGTAGTTTCTTTTTTAGTATTCAAGTATTTAAAAAAAACTATTAATTATGTTGTTAAGTATATCTGTGGTGCCACGTCGACCGCTTTGGATCATCCATAAAAAGGTCTAACACATAGCGCGTCACAAAAAGAAATTCAAACTTTGCCAGAATTTAGAAAATATTAATAGAAAATTATTTTCCCCACAAAATTTTTCGATATCTGACCTCTGTGTCCTGTTTTTAAGGGGTGAAACTCATTAATTTGAAATACGTTTGTTTGTCTGCGTGCACGATAAGTTGATAGTGATTTTAGTCGAATTTAGTGAGAGATCGTGTTTAATGGCCTGGGAATTGAAAGTTGACAATGTGTACAATATTTCTGACAATTTCTTAAAATTTTAACAGCACAAACAATGCAGAAAAGTAGGGATTTCGGTGGAACTAGATTTCGGGCTGGCGGAGGAAACAAGGCGATTCGGTTGGGAGCGCGGAGGGCTACACTAAATATATTTAACACCACTTTATTTTTATTTTGGCGTAAAAATTATACAATTTCCCAAATTCCGAAGACGAAATTGTATAAGTTGTACGTCAAAACAAAAATAAAGTGGTGTTAAATAATATTTAGTGTAGCCCTCCGCGCTTCCAACCGAATCGCCTTATTTCCTCCGCCAGCCCGAAATCTAGTTCCACCGAAATCCCTACTTTTCTGCATTGTTTGTGCTGTTAAAATTTTAAGAAATTGTCAGAAATATTGTACACATTGTCAACTTTCAATTCCCAGGCCATTAAACACGATCTCTCACTAAATTCGACTAAAATCACTATCAACTTATCGTGCACGCAGACAAACAAACGTATTTCAAATTAATGAGTTTCACCCCTTAAAAACAGGACACAGAGGTCAGATATCGAAAAATTTTGTGGGGAAAATAATTTTCTATTAATATTTTCTAAATTCTGGCAAAGTTTGAATTTCTTTTTGTGACGCGCTATGTGTTAGACCTTTTTATGGATGATCCAAAGCGGTCGACGTAGCACCACAGATAAACTTAACAACAGTACCAAATGGTAAATAAGTTGTTGTTTTTTCGTAAATATTAATTGCATACATATTTCTCCAATGGTAAATACAAACATAGATATTCGCCCTTTTTCATTATTTGTCAAAGTCAAAGTGGTTTGTGGGTTGTTAGATTCACCCACAAACTACCATGTGAAGCAATCCTCTTCGTCGTCCTGAAGAAGACCCTTTGAGGTCGAAACGTTGACAAAAAGGCCTAATCCGGACCCCTTCAAGTCTACAAGTGAGCCCTTATCCTTTCACTTTTCCTAATATATCCTCACCGCACAATTTACATATTATATGGATTTTATAATATCCGAGAATCTATTCTAAGCAAACGTTGTGCATATTTTTCTTGATCGGGTTAAAATTTGATAAATACAATGAAAGTTTTCAAAAATCCCGATTGTGGCTGAAAATTTATTAAAAAATTACTCCATACATATGGGAAAAAATCGCATTCAAATATACATATGTTGGCTTATTTCTGCGAGTGAACAATTTTAAATTAGTCCGGTGAAAATCGGAGGTAACCACCTCACACTGCTGCATTGTAAAATGTTACGAAGAAATTGCAGTTTATTCCTAAAATTGAAAGTTTCGCAAGTTAAAATTTGTGAAGAACTCAGAAATAAAATTTTGTAGCACAGATTTCAGTGGAAGTCAGTTTTTATGTTATTTTCCACAACAAATTTTAAAATTCCGCATAGTCGTTTTTATCTAGTGTGTAGGGGCGCCTACCGGCGCCCCTCGAAAATCTGGCGCCCCAGGCGGTTGCCTAGCTCGCCTATACCCAAAACGGGGCCTGCTCATTTCAAATATTCGAACGCTGTAATTAAGAATGGTTATCAATTTGTCTGCAATTGCAATTGCAACACCCCGAAAGAAATCGTAGACCTGTTTTACATTTGAAGTCAGACGTTAATTTGTTACCTTGTCTACTTCGGCGTCTAAATGTGCCAACTTGTTGTTCGTGACATTGTTGTTGTTGCAGAATGATTTGTCGCTGTTGTTGTGCAACGTAGTCGTTGTGGTGGTGGTGCTGGGAGGAGGAGAATTGGTTGTGGGGGTGGTGGTATTTTGGCGAAATTTCGCCATCATTTGCGCCGGTGGGGTCGTACTCGAGTGGGGGCATGTGCAGGGCCAGGATTTTAGTCACTCCCGCGTCCTCCTCGTCCCCACCAACTTTGCTTAAGCGACCAGACTTCAGGTATTCGGTGTCCTGTGGAAAATACCAATTTTGTTTATTTAATGAGTCAAATTTCCGTGCATAAAAAATCGAAATTTTGTAAATAAGGAAGAAATTCGGTTTGATTTTTGCGTGGATTCGAAATTCTACATTATTTCCGGAAAACGGGGGAATAAACTAATAATTTACAGTTTATCATGAATGAGTGATTTAGTGTAAAAAAAATACTAATTGCTAATCTCCGGCTAAATATTATTAATTGTAGTGTTTAATTAATTTTGAGTCTGAAGTAAAGAAGTAAATTCAAGACAATTGATAACGTGGAAATAAATCTTATCTAACAATGGAAACTTCCGAGGTGCCGGTTGAATCCAGGGTTCCCACCTATACCAAAATGACCACAACATGCGATTTATGACGTAAAGTGAAGGAATTTACGTGCAAAAATCACTTTTCGTCAAGTTGTGACGATATTTGTGACGAGCGTGTGAGCACGGAGAGCATAGAGTTTCGTCGTGAGACATTCGGCGGAGATGCTGGCTGAACACATGATCGTGTTTACAAATATTTCATTTTTATTGCAAATATTTGCAAACCACAATTTTCATTTAATTTTTAAAATTCTTATTCGTAATGGCAAACTTAATTATAATTTTTGAGAGTGTTGAAATTGGCAAAAGGTAAAGTTGGAATCAACGGTAGACCAACAAATAAATCGTCCTAAATTTAAACATTGCAAAAAGAGTGTTTTCATGTATGGAATAAATTGTCAAATTCTGGGACTGCTTTTGAAACGATAAGCACATTAAATATGTAGATGGTTACTTAATTAAATACATATAAAGGTGTACATAAAGATACATTTTAAAATGTTCACGAATTGTTATTCTCATCAACATGAAAGTGCGAAATGGATTTATTGATTTCCAATGTAAAGTTTCATCAAATGTGCAATTGTCATCTATTTAACTTGCAACTCTGTTTCGACCACTTTTTTGTTGAATACCACCACCACCCACTAACTAATGACGACACTAATTGACGTCCACACGATTTTGTTCACAGTTATGAATAATTTGAGAATTAAAATTATATTAATTGAGAATTTGAATTATGCGAGAACTCTTTGCAGTCTCCGAGTCGCACGGTTCGCCGCTTGAACCCACTCTCAACCGTGGTCACACGCTCGTCACAAATATCGTCATAAATTGACGAAAAGTGATTTTTGCACGTAGATTCCTTCACTTTACGTCATAAATCGCATATTGTGCTCATATTGGTATAGGTGGGAACCCTGGATTCAACCGGCACCTCGGAGGTTTCCCTTGTAAGGCCAAAGGAAAGTTTGAAAAATCTGAAATCCAAAGCGTTTTTCTAATGGATTATTTTTTTCTAGATTTTAACAGGTTTTAAACAATTTGGTTAAAAACTGCAAAATCTGCTTGCAATACTATGTTTATAAATTATTATAAAAGTTCAAATTCGTCGTCAAACAATTTTTCTGTTCTGGAATTTACCAAGTTGAAAATTCGTATGCAAGTTTTTAATACTTATAATTTTGAATTTGCTTATTAAGTAACCAAAATATTCATGCAAATTAAGTTGGACGTCAATACATATCTTTCGAACTTTTTTAACGCAGGACTCAATTAGTCAATGAGTAATACTCATTGCCAAAATCGTCAAAAATCAACACATTTTAAATCGCTTCTCCGCTCTGGGAATTTATTTATAATTCTGGACGACAAATTTTTAGTCGGTGAATTGATTAGTGGAATAGCGCTTAGTTTTTTAATCCAGTTTTGATGAGTTCCAATTTTTCTGAAGGCTTCTGAACCTTGAGATCTTCTCCGCCAAAAAGTGTCAAAATCGGAAAGTGTATATTTTTAAAAAAATGACAAAGACCTGCTCTACAAATTTATCATGCAGAATTTTTTAATAAATTCCCAGATAATGATTAAAAATGTGCTGATTTTGACGATTTTTGTGATAAGTCATCCGAGTCCTATATTTTGCGCTAATATTTTGCGTGCAATAATTTTGGAATGAAAATCAAATATATTCACTCACTCTGAGAGAAAGCGTGGCCATGAAATTTTGCGAGTGGACGGCGTGGTAAGGCCCGGAGTAGACGTTTCCCACGTTGTAGAGCGTGTCCCCCGTGTGGAAACCCCCACTGCCGCCCAACCCTTTCGTGAGCAGGGGACGTGTAGGGGGGTTCTCGGGAAGTTGGAAGGTCGCATACGGACACACGTCGTCTCCATAGTCTGAAAATTTTGTGGGAAAAATGGTTAAATTTGCAATTAAAGTTGTAATTTCTCAATAGACACAATTCCAGGTTTGTTTTATATATCACAAAATTTTGGAAAATAATCATGTAATATTTTCCTTGATATTTCTGAAACTAAAGAAATACCAAATATGCTGAGAAATATTGTGAAAAGCTGCAAATTTAATTTTGCCCTGTTATTAGATTTATGTATTAACATGTTGGAAATTTCATTACATAACACGAGCTCTGTTTCAAATTCATATCTTGCAACGTCAATTCGCGACGCAAAATTCTAAATAATTAAATTCCCCAAAATGTCTCTCAACTTCATAATATTTGTAAATTTCTCAACAGCCACACTTCAAGGTTGCTCTTCTTAAAACAAAGCACGAATTGCTCGAAAATTTAGCAGAATAATTGTGCAATATTTTTCCTTATATTTCGCAAATGTCAATATTGCAAAAAACTGCAATTTTTTCCCCTCTTATTAGATTTTTTAGCATGCCTGAAATTTCATTATGTAACAAGCCCCCTTCATTTTAAATTAAATTCACGATGCAAAATTCTTATAAATTAAATTTCCAAAATTTGCCAAATATCTCTCTTCATCTTTGCCACGTTTCTTCACATGTGCTACTAAAATTTATGGCAAAATTCTGCCTTAGTTCATCATTCCCATCCTGATAACTGTACATCTAACAAGTAACAAATCTCCATTTATTTGCCGTCTATCTTGTTGCAGGAGGAAGTGTGTCGTCGTGTTTGACTTTACGTCGGGCTAAAATGCTCAGGGTACTGGCAGGGCTAAACTAATAATGACATTTCATTCCATTCCATTACTTTATTATCAGATTACGCCCTTCTCGCACCCAGCCGAACGTGAGGGCGACATGGCGGAGGTGAAATTGTAATCGGATTGTTACCATCATCACGTCCGAAACATGGCTACTTTCGCACTCTGCTCACATAAATAAGGAGCACAACCTTGCTCCCACTTTCGCCATGAGTTTGCTTTCACTTTCGATCTCGGTGAGCAGAACGGGACGATTTTACTGTATCATGTCTGCTCTGTTGTCATCCTGTACTTTAATGCGTACACTTTAATTTTAAGGTGAGGAATGCACCGGATTTTCAGGAAATTTTCACAATCCATGGTTTAAAAAAATTAGTTTGACTGTGTGTGAGCTGGCTGTGATTTCTTAGGTTTTTTGCTGTAGATTTTTAACGACTTAATTTTGAATTTTGCAAAAATAGTGACTTATAAATTTTATATAAGGTGATGATATAATGGAAATTTTCAGTATGAGAATTATAAGAAATGTTGTCCTAATAAAATCACGTCATGTTTGCTGGGCGTGGGTGGGTAAAAATTTATTTTTGGTGCAAAATTTTTGTGGAAGCGTTATTCAAAATATTTTGTCAAAATTAGTCCGACGCAGAGTTTTGGATATTATGAATAGCAATTATTACAAAAAGAAGTAAATATTTTATTAATTGGTCGATATTCTGCATTTTTGCCTAAATTCGAAGGTTAAAATTTTGATTTTTTTCTTCTACAAGAAAATAAGTATAAACTAGATAAAAATGGCAATTAAAGACTAAATATTTGTCATAGAAGAAAAAATCAAAATCCTAACCTTCTAACTTCAAATCCTATATTTAGAATTTTGTAAAAAAAAATAATTTAGATAACAAACTTTAAATGACATTTCTGCATATTTAAAGAATTGAAAAATATGCTTAATTTTAATTCCTTGACCATAGTTGAGGAAATATTAAGTAATACAAGAAATGCTGTTGCCCTTAATAAAACAAATAAATCACGCCATGCGTCATGTTCATATAATTTCATGAAAATACATGACCTTCGCTCTACTTTCTCTCACAATGGCCTATTTACACATCAACGTTTGTGGCTTTCTTTACCTCTCCGTGATTGTGAACTATGTATGATTCGGTTAAAGTAAAATTTGGCACTGGTTTCGCTAAGTTCATATTTCGACGACTCCACAATTTATGTTGTGGTGTGCTAAATTTGGTGAAATTTTAAGCTGGAAAGAGGAGGAATAATGGCTGTTTTTGAAGTGAAAGTGAGTAAAGTGCGGTTGTAATCGCGTTAATAATTCTGCGATGAGAATTAGATGAACTTCTAGGTGTAATGTAGAGTTTCTCAACGGGTTAGGGTTTGGGACTATATCGGTTTCGGATTCGGATAGGGTTTTCTCTATCCGACCGTTATCGGGTTCGGATACGGATTTACCTTCGGATAATCCGAAAACCCGATAGCAAATTGACTAATACGATTTAATTGTCAATAACTTTGATAGGCATTACGAGTTGTTTGACATAATTGATGTCATTCAATTAACGGAACATTCATAAAATATGCAACCAAATTTAAACTATTTCTGGGTCGGGCTACATGTACATACACATTAGGGGATAGGAATTTTAACATAGTTGAAATTAGCGACATAGTCCCATTCTTTCTTCGTTTCTTGAGCCACATATTTTATGAGGGTTCCACAAATATTACAACAATAATATGTACATATAATAATATCCATAACTGATTAATATTAGTGGAAGAACGAAATATATACGCAGTAGAAGGCTGGTTTCTTTTTGACAAAAGATAGAAGTTATGAAATTGAAGCTCAGAGTTGTGATTTGTTATTAACAGTTGGAATAATAATTAGGAAAAAATTAATCCACACATGGGCTTATGAAGGTATTTTATACTTATCGGGTTCTGGTTCGGATTCGGATCGTTCCCCAAACATATTATCGGATTATCGGATTCGGATCGTTCCCCAAACATATTATCGGATTATCGGATTCGGATCGTTCCCCAAACATATTATCGGATTCGGATCGTTCCCCAAACATATTATCGGATTCGGATCGTTCCCCAAACATATTATCGGATTCGGGTAGAAGGTATCGGGTTCGGATGAAGGATTTCGTACCCGTTGAGAAACACTAGTGTAATGAAAAGGAGGATGGGCTGCGTTGTAAATAAACCATTGTAAAACGGACGTAACAAAGGGCAAAAACCGTGCTTTTTTACTTCATGTTTCTCTCTTCTTTGTTGTGGAATTAGTTTAAGAATGCGTATCTGCGTAAATGTGCAGTTGCAAGGGGTATGTCCAATTATTCTACATAAATCAATAGGGCCAAACTTTGTAACCTGTATTAAAACCGTCAAATTGGGCATATCGGATTTAAATATGAATGCAAAGTAAATTTAAAGGTTTATTGAAAGCGGAACTCATAGTTTGCACGTTTCAAAAAATTGGATAGAGAAATTTTGAATTTGAGGGGAAATTTTATAATAATATTTAGGAGAACAGGGAACCATAAAAAATATTTGTCATAGGATTTATTTCAATCTCGGGATAATTGTGTCACTTTGGTCCCGATAATTAATTATTTGAGTTATCAAAATACTATAAACTGGAAAAGGTGTAGCATGTATGTACTATGTGGGGTGACCAGACTACTCATTAATAGGTGTAGCATAATTTTGTTCCATATGAAAAGTTAAGGATTAAAAGTTCGACAAGCGAAGATAAAGGTTTAGTTCTTGCATGATATTTTTCGTAAATTAAAAATTTTCAATAGTTTCAAAATTATATTTTCAAGTTTTCCTTATATTTTACTTTACCTCCTGCAAGGTCCTTTCCTTTGGTGGCGTATTGTGCCGTCAGATCGGGCGGGTACTGGCCTTGGGATCCCTTGACGAGCGTGTAATGCTGATGCGGAGTGGCTGCATCGTACATGATCCCACCCTGACTGTGATCGTAACCTTGACCTTGACCTCCTCCACGGTCAAGATAGGACGTCCCATCCCCAGATCCAGCATAATTGTGGTCCCCAATCACCGTTTTGGGGTGCGGAATGCCCAAAATTCCTGGAATTTTGAAATAAAATAGACAATTGATTTTATCATTAAGAAATAATATCACATAATAAAAATATGAAACACCTGTTATAAAATTTTAAAAAATATGGACATTCTAAGTTAATTAATATATTTAATAGCCTTTTTCACGTTCTAACGATTTTCATGTATGAGAACTTCAAATTTGCGTAATTTTTAGTAGGATCAGTAATAAAATTAGAGAACGCTTTGCCAGTTTTTACGATGTGTACGAATTTACGAACTTCTTTTCGCAATTTTGAGAGTTCTTGTAACTCATCTTCATTTAATAAATTTGTATCATAACATTTCCCACAGTTGACAAACGACGTTTAACTCATACACATTTTAAATATACAATTTTCTGCGGAAATTCGTATTAATGAAAGTTTGAATCTTTCACTAACTTTACACTTTTGGAAGGCTGCAATATTTCTTTCAACCATTCAATTCCGAATATTTTTGCGAGCATTGTTCTTGTTGCAAATGTAAATTTTATGATTTAAAAAAAATATATTTCTGCATACTCTTCAAATCTCATCAGCTGAACCTGCTTCTGCAAAAAGTAAGTAAGTAATAGTTCCATTTTCGAATTAGGGGTGCTCCTATCCAGTTTTTTAGATACATACATACAACCTGAAATTGGCCACATTTTTGCCAATTTTGGCAAGATGTAAGTTTTCACGTAAACTCTGTCAATTTTGTTATTTATTTTTATGGGCTGTAATAAACTTACGTTTTCTCCGGATGTAGCAGAAGAATGAGATGACGGCGGTGACCATGGCGAGTGCGAGGACGGAGGGGAACACGATCAGGAGCGACGTGCTCAGCGTGGACGCCTCGTTTTCTCCCAGAGCACTCTCGCCATCACGACTTTCTCCAATACTTTCTCCCGAGGATTTTCCACCACCTGCAGATCCAAGCCCACGCCATAAAATAGTGAAAATTAACGTATTTTTACATTTGTTCGGACATTCATATTTTATTTCAATATTGCTAAAAACAATTAGGGAACGACACGGTACCCAAAATCGAGTCGATTGTTACCGGGTGGTTATGATAATTAATTACGAAGGATATATCATCAACTAGGAGAAATTTATTCGGCTAGTGGGAAGGTCAGATTTATAGTTACAATTCGGTATAAAATTGCCACCAATCGTAGCACGTCGTTATGTATCTACCGAGTAAGTAATTTACGAAATTTAATGGTTTACAAAGATACGAGTGAAACATTGTGTCCGATAAACTTCAATGCCGAAATCTTTTTGATTAGAAAATTTAATTGGGTGTTTTATTTGTTAGATAAGGTTTGCGTTCAATTCAGTTTGATTTGAATGAGATTAAAAGTTTAATTTAAAACTTTAAGTTCTTTTTAAATTTTACCCAAGAGGTTCACCACTTGGCTATCAAACTTCACATATTTGTCTAGTATTTTATTTTACAAATATGCGTATTATTTTGATACTGCGTTTCTAAGAGTGTAGATAAATTGCGGGCGAAGGTTAATTAGTGGACTTTGCTACCACTCTGGAATCAATTATTTACCGGGGAGGATAAACTCGAATTTCGTGGATAATTATTATGGTTACCCTTCCGTAGTAAATCGTTACCAAGTCGGAAATTTGCTTCTTGTTACATTCATTACTTAACTTCGTAAAATGCAATATTATTTTGCCGTTACCGTGACTGGTGGTGGCCAGTGGGGGAAGTGATCCGGTGAGAAATTCGTATTTAGCCAACGTGTCGCCGGCATGGTTTCCGCCCGTGACGCGGATGTCGTACCGCGTGTTGGCGTGCAGTCCCGTCAGCGTGTACGACTTGGCAGAACCCTGGCAAAAAAATTATTGTCTGATAAATACATTGTTGGCCAAAATATAGTTAGCTAAAATTGTTTGTTCCTGATTATCCATAGTTCAGAACATCTCGGAAGGTAATTCATAAATCGCAGTTTTTCGCACTGGAAAAATATGTGATTTGATTGATGTAGATGCCAAATCGCGAATTTAAATCTAGGGTTTCCTTGTGAAGTAATGCGAATTTTTTAAATTGTAAATTGGCGTTAAGCAAGTGAATTTGCAAATAATTTCGGAATAAGATGCAACAATGGTCGAACTCTACTTTATGCATGGAATCATTTCGTAAAATTGATTTCAAAAATTTCCCATGCAAATATTCATGGTAAAAGTGTAAAGTGCAAAATATACATCTTTATATGTACATACATACTTGTTGTAAATAATATTTAGCAATATTTGTTGCACAAATTATTTTAAAGACAAGATTGCGTATACCTATATTTATATGTTAATGACTTTGTTTTTGCAATTTCTATTAATTATCATGTATTTTAGCGCAAAAAACATGCAACTCTGCATAAAAATCAGGAATTTATGTGTGGACTTACATTAAGCTCGGCTGGAATTCGCATCCAGCTTTTTTCCTGGGACTGTTTGTACTCGATCATGAATCTGAGAATGGGGCAGCCGACGTCCTTCCAAAGGTCCAGACGCACCACGATCGTCGAGTGGTTCGAGAAAAGGGCTTCCTCCTTCTTGGGCGAAACTGGGGCTGGAAATTTTTACAGAATTTCAAAAAATTATGAAAATATTTGGCGGGTTTTAAAGGAACTAAAGTATTCCAAAATAAATTGGTAATAAAGTAAATTAACAGGATTTTTGGGAATTATGAAAATCATCGAGTAAGTTCAAAATGAGTCGTTAACAAAGTGCCGATTCAAAATCGCGGAATTGTATCTCGGCCGAAATTTGGCTACGAATTTTGTTTCTTGATGAAGTTCAACACTTTTGTGATTTATTCTTAATTTTGAACAAAATAATGAAGATTTTAGGTGCAAAAATTATACCTTAAGAGCTTCATTGCTTAAGAAATTAATTATAGGCTTTGTCTATGTAATTCTTTTGCTTCTATTTTTTCATGAAATCGTTTCAAAAGTATGCAATAAAAAATAATATAAAAATCAATGTAAAAACAATAATTTGCAAATATGGCGAATATGCATAAGCAAATTGTTCAAATGTGCCGAAATATATGCAAAATATCGCGTTTATGATAACGTTGAAATATTTCAAAAATTCGTTGTTTAACACGCACGTTACACTCTACAGTTACGCTAAGTTTTTCTACTTAAATTGAACATATACAACACATACACAATATATAGTTTCAAAATTTTGAGCCATGTCTTCAAAAACTAATTTTCAAAATTTTCCTCACCACTGCCTTTCGTACTGCGAGTCAAAATATCCGACGCGGGTCCGGAGCCGATTTTGTTGGCGGCGGTGATGTAGAGTTGGTAGGTGGACCCGCAGAGGAGCGGCTGCAGCGTGTGCCCCGTCGCACGTGGGCCGACCTCCGTCTCCTCCCAGTCGCCCCCATCTCGACGATAGCTCACCAAATAACCTACGAGGAAAATGAGCTCTTATTTAGGAACACAATTGTAGTCGCCGTATGTGATTTGACTAATGTGTAGTGATATTTTAATTTATTTTATCATTTGATTTCATTATTTTAATATTTTTGTATGAATTATGATTATGTATGAATATGGGATGATGCTTAACATTGAATTTGGGCATTGAACTTGTCTCTGATTGGTTGAAAAGTTTTAACTTGTAATAACATTGAGTCTACGTGGCAGTTTTGGATACTGCATGGGTGGAAAAAAGAGACCCAAAAATCAGACCCGATTTAACTATAGAGTGGAGAGGAGTTAGTCTCACCTCTCATATTCATTTTTGGAATTTAAAACTTATTTGAATTGGTGTTAATTTGAAAACAACTAAATTTTGTACAGTAAAAAACGAGAGAAGAATTACAGTGTGTCAATAAAGTCCCGTTAAATTAGCTCATCAATTTTGCTGGCTTTGAGTGTACTTATTTACAACAAGTCACCCACTCGCCTTGCATAGTTGGAGCTGCCCCCCCCCCTTGGACGGAGACGCTACCCAGGTCAAGCTGAGGATCCGAGAGTGGAAAAATAAAAAGCGCCAGAGCGCTTACATGGTCTCGCCCGAACCGGATTCTTTGTGCTTTGGATGGACATCCTTTTGTGACCTGTCGTTGAGGCCTCTGGATTCTCGTCGTTAAACAAACTGTACTTGCGGGGGGCGTGCCACCTCCAGATATAAAAGAGCACCACAACAGATAAGTTGGTTCCAATTGAACAGTATATTTGCCTGTCTGATTTTGTCGTACGACCCAACAGAAAGAGTTCGTGACGATAGGACGGAATCTGGCGTAATAAGAAGAGGAACTAGCAACCCCGTGGTCTAGGGATCCCTCTACTCGAAGGTTGACGACATACCTTGGGAGAAAGTGTCGCCCGAATACGTGGAGTGCGTGCCACCTCCAGAGAGAAGGCACCGTTTTAGGCAAGCTATTCGATCCGATTTGAGAGAGTTAATTAAATTGTAAATTAATAGTCGAATCGACGTTATTGATTTGTGGTCGAGGTCACGATGTCGGAGGGAAGGAGGATCAGCTCCAGAAGAAAGGTGCCAACGGACCGCTACGGTGACTTCGTTGGACCACCACTACCTCGAAAACCTCGCACCCAGTCAGCAAATCAAACACAAGTGGAAGAAAGTGTCTCCTTGGGACTCACGGTCAAGAGCACCACAAAACAGCGACGCATCGACTTGGAATCAAAGAGAGAAGTCGCAAAATTGGAATCAGAGCACAGAGAAGTGAGAAAACAACATCAGACCAGCGAACTAATTGCCTCCGGTCTGAAGAAAGATGTCGACGGCGTCATGGAAGTCATCCTATCACTGCACGAAAAAGATGAAGATGACGACAGAGAGAATAAAATTGAACAAGAGGAAGTCAAACTGACGAAATTGGTCGAAGCGTTGCGAACTGCTGAGCAAGATAGGGATATGAAAATGATCAATCTGCAATTTTCAGAAGAAGCCCTAAAGTCGAAGAAAGCAATTTTGCAAGAAGAGGCGGAAGTAGAAAAGTTAGAAGTGGAGCTGGAAGAAGAAGAAGAACAGCAGAGAAAATCAATCGAAGGTCTCAGCAAAGGTGACAAGGTGGAACTCATATCAAATTGCGCAGCCAGCGCTGGTGACCACACATTTGCCAAATTGCTTGAAAAGAAAATGAGAATAAGTGCTCAAAATCAAGAATCCATACCGGTAGACGATTTGGGAGCAACGGAAAAAGAGAAGAAAGTTCAGCCAGATGACGATGATGATGACGACTTAATCTCTGAAGAGGAGGATGCAGAATCCGAACCTGAGGATAGAGAAGAGTTTGAACAATTGCGCTTACGGTTCGCCCGATTAATTGGTAAAGATAAAAAAGAGGATAAGCCAACCAACCCAACAAATCAAATGCAAAGGATGATGATTCAAATATTATGCAAAGTATGGCAAACGCGATTGCAGCAATGGCGACAGCGCTACCACACAATCAAAGTGTTAACTCGAACAAGATGATGGCCAGACAGATCCAAGGAAGAGATTTGCCTACATTTACTGGAAAACCAGAAGAGTGGCCACCATTCATCACATCCTACGAAACGTCAACAAAAACTTGTAAATTCTCCGACGGGGAGAATCTCATCCGGCTACAGAGGTGCTTGAAAGGAGAAGCCCTCAAAACAGTACAGTGCTTGCTAGTGGACGGGAAGGGAGTAAATGAAGCAATTCGAAAGCTGCGAGCTCGAAAGCTGGTGTTAATTTGAAAACAACTAAATTTTGTACAGTAAAAAACGAGAGAAGAATTACAGTGTGTCAATAAAGTCCCGTTAAATTAGCTCATCAATTTTGCTGGCTTTGAGTGTACTTATTTACGACAAGTCACCCACTCGCCTTGCATAGTTGGAGCTGCCCCCCCCCCTTGGACGGAGACGCTACCCAGGTCAAGCTGAGGATCCGAGAGTAGAAAAATAAAAAGCGCCAGAGAGCTTACAACAATTAAATAATACGCATAAATTTTTGCAAAATTAGAAAAAGTTTAACTAGAGTCATAGGCAAATTTTATGAAAGTGAAATTCCCAGAAAAATAAAACTTGTTTCCACTCTTGCTCAAAAACATCTACGATAATGTTGCCATTTGTTTGTAAAATAATTCGTAAATTTTGCCATACCCGACTCATGTATTGGTATCTATTTTGCTTTTAATTAAAGCCAAAAATTACGGCATCTTGTCTATATTAAAACTTGTGGAAAAAATATAAGTTAAATAATGACGTGCAAATTTGTGAAATTTCCGTACAAATTTTTAAAATATTGCTGAAAAAGTAAACACTTGACTGAAAATTTTACGATAATGCTACCACTTGTTTGCAAAAAATTTCGCTAATTTTGACTTATGATGATACTCAACCCTCGTCTCAGTTACCAATCTTTGTTTATTTTAAATACTGGAAGCTATGTGAGTTAAATAATGACGGACAAATTTGCGGGATTTTCTGTTTTGTGAAATCTTAATTTTTTTAGCAATGTGGCAATCTGACCTCTGACCTGGCTTCCGCCCGAGTGTGGCGTAGACCAGACGACCTTTATGGACGTGTATGCGACCTCGATGACTTGGAGGATGGGGGCTTCCGGCGGGGTTTGCACTTTCACCGCGTAAACCACGCTCTCGCTCCCGTGCGCGTTGGTGGCTGTGCAGGTGTAATTTCCACCGTCTTCCACTCCGACGTCTTTCACGACCAGCTTCGTGTTTCCGCCTGAACTCGGTTGAACCTTAAAAAGGTTGGGATTCGTAAAAATATCTATTAAAATCGGTAATATAAATACTTTTTATTGATCCATTACATCGGTGTCAGAGGACATTTCTAACTCGAAACGATTATTATTGCTGCAAGCTTTCGATATTCATTTAGAAAATCTTCATCAGGCAGAAATACAATAATTGATCTAATACTTTGAACCTCTAATTTCACAATTTTTTCAAAGTTTTGACTTACACTTTGCAAATGCAAAAATTATCGAGGCCAACACAGTCCAGTGTGTTTGGCCAAAGGAGATTATTTTTTTACTCCAAAATTACATGTTTTCGGAGTTTTTTTTATTTTTAGGGTGAAAAATGATTTTTTTATTACTTTTTCAGATAATAGTAAATAAAAATCCTCAACAATTAAATTTACTCTCACAAATTTGTATTACATTGAATTTTTGCCATTTTTGAAACTATTTACGATAAGGAAATACAGAATGTATTTTCAATTAAATTTATTTTCGTACAAAATGAGTAAAAATGAAGCCAAAAGTTAAGATTCATAAAATTAAGAACGAGAATTGAGTTTTTCAGATTCGATTCGAAGAAGAAAACACTTTTTTTAAGTGATTTTAAGATGGAATAAAAAATGTATGATTCGATAATTTACGCGAAGGTTTGTAAAAAGCTTCTATAAATGATAAAAGTTATCAAATTTTAATTTTGCGAAGGAAGTAATAGCTTGACCGAAGTATTTAGATTATCAATTTGCCCTAAACGTGTATATGAAGGGCAACTTTTTAGCCCGAGTCAGGGCTTATGGAGCCGTCATGTCAGTCCATCTTGCCGGCAGGATATAGCCAAAACGAGGGACCCGTTTGACTTCAAAATTTATTTTCTGCTAACCACACCCACGCAACTTGTTTACTCGGATACAAGAAATCACAAGTGTATTCACGACGTCTTATTCAGCATTGCAACTCATTTAGCAGACTTTCGAACCTTAACAAATGGTGTCGCGAAATATGATTTCGAAAATTTCACAGATTTCGCAATCTGTGCAAAGAGTCCTGACATATTGTTTTAAGTTTATTATTTACAAATTCTATTGCACTTAATTAATGCAGAGTTTGTGAAATAATCTTGGGAAATACAGATTAGTCTGTGAAAATATGCCCAATTGTAGGGGAAAATTTCGAACAAAAAATCCCATAGTTTTCCCTCATTTTTATTCAAACCCCGCAAATTTCACAAGTTATCTTGCAATGTTTAATTTTGCGAGATATGCGAAAGTTGAAGTGAGCTCAGCTTGAAGACCAATTTTGTCAACATTTTACCAACAAAATGACCGTCATCCATTCATCGATTTTTTATTGTTATGCGCTCATCATTTCACAATAAACTATCGAGTGTCACGTCATTTTACAGCACGGCATGTCACGTAGTGGGAAAGCTGATGAGTGACGAAGGCTTTACTTTAACAATAAAAATTCCGACGTGTCCTTAAAACCGGGAGAGAATGAGAGCTCAGCAATTCATCAAAAAATCCACTTGCTTTCACTTTGAAGGAATACCGTTGTGATGATGATCATCATCCGGCAGCCATCTCTTCGTCGTCATCATCATCAACTTCCTTCCGCTTTCTCTTTTTCCCTTTCTCTTTTAAAAAATATATTTGATGCTGCTGCTGTTCAACCCGTCAAAATCGGATCCGGGGAAAATATGACGGGAGAAAGTGAAAGGTTTGCCGGGGGAGAAAGTAAAGTTCGTCCGATGGGTGTACTCAAGCCAAAGTTGAAAAAAGGATGGTGAATTTCGACTTCAACCATTAATTTATAACCTAAATAAATTTTAATATAAATTCATGACTTCAACGGCGACTAATATCTTTTGGAAGGTGATAAACAATGTTTAAGGTATATCGAACAAGTTATTTACGATTAGTTGGCAATAATGAAATTTTGTATCGAATTTTATCCTTTTTTTCGAAAATTACGTAACCTACAAAATACGAATAATACGCAATATGAATAAAAGGTGGGAAATGTGGTGACATTTTTTGTTCCCGCTAGACTTCAACAACTAATATATTTTGGCATTTTTTTAAGCTCGAAATACGTTTTGAGGTTAGTTGCTTGACAAGTTGTAAGGCATTGGGTTGGTTGGTTGACAATGATGAAATTTTGTATCGAATTTTTATTTCAAATTTTATGCTTAGTTTTTTTTTGAAAATTAGGTAATGGAGAAAGTGTATATAATGGGTGCTTTCATGCCAAACTTAGGAAATAATGGTAAATTTTAAAAATAATTTCTCTTAAACTGCGAGACTTCAACGGCAACTAATACATTTCGGAGTTGTTTTTATTCCAAAAAATTATCTGAGATTTCTCGGTCTTGAGTTTTGGCATTTTTTTATACATAATAATTTTTTGAGGTCGGTCGATTGTAGGGCTTTGAGATGGATCACAATGAAATTATGTATAGAATTTGCATTCCTAATTTTATCCTTATTTTTTTCGAAAATTATGAATATCATAATAATTCACGCAGCACTTGGAAACTTTGCAAAATCTTTAAATTGTGTAAAATAATTTTACGAAACTGTTACAAAATAAATTTACGCCCTTGATCGGAGCAATTTTACAAAACATTTGAAAGTTAATTTTCCTCAGAAATGTTTGTAAAATTTTGAAAGTTTACGGATTTTACAACACCAACATTACATGATGTGAATATGACTGAAATTTATGCAATAATGCGTGCCCACCCTGCACGAATTTGAGTTTAGACGATCTTTCTCAACTTTGACTTCATTGTTGTGCTCGTTTTGTTCGCTAAATCCGTACTTTTGTTGATACGTCCGTCACACAAAAAAAGTGTCAAAGGTTCATTCTGAGGATGGGAAAGTGGGAGGAAGTTGGGAGAGGAAGACGCTATAAATCAGAAAATAGAGGAAAAAACGACGGGACAAAAAAATATGATAAATCATACAGCGTAGATTTTGTGATGAGAATAATACCAAGTTTTTTTTTCATGCCGGTTATGTCATTCGACAATAAAAATCATGTATAATAAAATAAACTGGATTTTTACCATGTTGTTTTAAATAAATATAATTTAGTGTGAGTACAAGAGTGTATGAAAAAAATATATCGTAAAATTGTAATTTTTGTTAACAAGAAGATAAATATAAAATAGATGAAAAATAATCAATAAAATTTAAATATTTCCTCATTGAAGAAAAAAATCAAAATTTTTATCTCCTAACTATGTAAGCCTAAAAATTACCGATTTTTAGATGCATTAATATCTTCATATTGTTAAAAACGAAAGGCGGTGAACATTTTTCAAAATCGCCATTTGAATACATGGAGGAAGGGAAAGTTGAGACACAACAATTCAAACAAAAAACACTTGATACAATGCCACGTTAACATAGGCACAAGTTGAAATAACCAAATTAAGCGCCTAATTTAATTTGGGGAACGTCCATATATTACGCCATCATTTTAGTGGGTAAGTGGTTTTGGTCTTCCTATCTTTCCCATGTTAAAATTCCCTATCCCTTAATGTTTACGTTGGGTGGGTGGGTGATAAAATCGAGAATTTTTGATGACGTAATATATGGATAAGCCCTTGCGTATCGATCCTATCTCCTCTCCACAGAAACATTTCAAATTTTGATTTCTAAATTTCAAAATTTTTTTACTCACCTCTCGCTTCGCGTTCCCCCCGTAGATTTCCCCACCACCGTTGAAGCTCCACTCCACCGTGGGTTCCGGCACACCCACCGCAACGCAATCCAGACCCAGCTCTTTCTTCCAAGGGATTTCCACCGTTCCAGAAAAAGTCGCTATTTTCGCGGAAACTGAAAAACAATTAGGAAATCTTGGGGATGATAAATATTAACAAATTCCTGAGATATTAAATTCTGCCGGAGTTATGATCAGGGCTGCATTTCACGACCAATTTCTCATCTGGTTGTGAAAGTAATTACAACCTGGAGACTGGCCCTTTCGTGGATTTAATGGAGTAATAAAGTTGGGGAGAAAGAGTAATTAGTTTCGAAGAGGAGCAATTATTGCGGGGCAAAATGAGCAATTAAGCTCAAAACTTGATTACTTTCTCCGTCTCTGAGGGGCTGTGTGCATACACTGTTAAAAATCTGGTAGAGTCAGATAGTACTCCGTACTGGTATCGACTTGGTAATAACTTCCTACCGGATTGGTAATAGTTTATTTTTGAGTAGTAAGTATTTCGTTGTCACAAAATTACTAAACGGTAATGGCCGTTACTACCGTGCCGATGGAGTCACATAATAATTTAATACCCATTTTCTAAGTGTTATATTTTACTTGTGGTAAATTTTTCATTACCACAACATTCGTTTTCTTGGTGGATTAAGGCGTGGTGTTTAGCAAGGCATCCTAATTTTAATTAATGTAGGTCAAAAATCCAGAAATCTCATGAAATCTAATGAATCACATGATTTTTGCATGATGCCTGCCTGGAGAAATGTGGATATTATTTATGGTTTGGGCGGAGAATTTGCCCTGTTATTGGCTGTTGATGATTTTTTTTATGTCGGAGCTAATTTGCATCGGGATATTTGTGTGACAAGATAAAATTGATAAATTTATTGGTTCCGTTTACACTCGTTTACACAATGGTGGGACGATTACGAGGAAAATTAAGCTACGCATTGATTATTTTACAAAGATTAATATACTTTAATGAAAGTTTGTAGTATGCTTTGTAAAAATTGTGCAGTTTACACATTTTTGTGAAAATTGTTTTGTAAATTTTAATAAGTCGTACGCCATTTTGAACGTTGCTGTCATACCTGTGCAGCCTCACTCAATTTCCGTAAATTGAAGCTTCATTCACGATGAGGGAGTGAAGGAGAGTGAGGCTGAGGAGGACAACCCTTCACCGACAGAATCACCGATCTTAACGCCCTTTGGATATGTTGTAGTCCTAGGTGAGTCTAGCAAAAGTGAAGAAGGATTTCATTCAATGGCCCCATTTGCGCCCGCCACACCCACTCAAAGGTGCGAAAAACACGAAAAATACCCTGTTTTCGTTCATTCAAAAAATCACCAAAAATCCAATTTTGATCGGATTTTCACAATTTAAGCATTTTTGTGATCCTAGATAGTTGCTTTATCATATCCAATAGCTAACTCAATTTTTTTAATTTTTTGAGTATTTTCGAAACTTTCCTGATATGCCTTCGAAAAAATCAAAATTTCAAAAAAATTGAGTTAGCTATTGGATATGATAAAGCAACTATCTAGGATCACAAAAATGCTTAAATTGTGAAAATCCGATCAAAATTGGATTTTTGGTGATTTTTTGAATGAACGAAAACAGGGTATTTTTCGTGTTTTTCGCACCTTTGAGTGGGTGTGGCGGGCGCAAATGGGGCCATTGAATGAAATCCTTCTTCACTTTTGCTAGACTCACCTAGGACTACAACATATCCAAAGGGCGTTAAGATCGGTGATTCTGTCGGTGAAGGGTTGTCCTCCTGAGTGAGGGAGTTGAAAACTTTGATCGAGTGGGTGAAGGTGAGTGAGGGAGGCTCAAATGAGAAATGAGTGGAATGAAGGGTGAAGGAGAGAAGATGAAGGCTTCATCTCCTTCATCTCTCTCACTCCTTCTCCTCCGGGGAAGAAGGGTGAAGGAATATAGGGTAGATCATTAGTTTACACACCCACAGCGTCGCAATATTAACATAGTACCGTCTCATATTACCCCATGCAATTTTCACCGTGCCCCAGTCCAATCTCACGTTGCTCCAACCCAGTCTCACATTGCCCCAGCCCAGTCTCACATTGCCCCAGTCGAATCTCACATTGCCCCAGTCCAGTCTCACGTTACCCCACTAGATGGCGCCAAAATATTTTAATTATGATGACACGAGGGACTGAATTGAATGAAAGAAAGAGTGAGGGAAATTGATGAGTGAGGGGAATGAGGGAGTGAAGGGAGTGAAGGGAATGAAGGAGTGAGAATGAGATTTATCAGTGAGTGAAGCCTCACTCAGCCTTCCTTCACGCGAGTGAGGGGAGTGAAGGGCAATTTGCCTCGAGGTGGAAATGAGTGAAGTTGAGTGAAGTGAGAATCTGTTGCACAGGTATGGTTGCTGTTTATTTCATCTTCTTATTAATTTGTATATCGGGCAGAAGGTTCGTCAAATACCGTAAACAAGAGTTTATGTTGTTGAAATACTGAGGATGAGTAACGTTTACGTAAAAAATTTCGTAAACCAAAAGTCTGAAATAATTTGACTCGTTACCTTTATTGTTGGCTGGGGTGGTGGCCTTGATTCTTTTGGTGGGCGTGCCCTCCCCCACGCGAGTCGTGCAGCTGACCCAAAACTCGTACGTGGAGGCCTCCTTCAGCCCAACCCACTCCACGCGAAGGTCCGGAAACGACACCAGCTTCTTTTCCTAAAATTGTAAAGTGGTCATTGTAATGAAACCTCGTAACGTATAATTAAGTGTAGAATGCAGATATTGAATTATGAGGCAATTCGCACACTAATTAATCCGAACATAACTCGTAAAATCTGTAAGTTTTGTAAAATAATTTTACAAGACACCCTTGATCTGAGTAAATTTCAGAAAATTTATGAGCTAATTTTCCTTAAAAATTTTTGTAAAATTTTGTTAAACTTTTTAAGTTTACAGAATTTACAAAGTTACCAAGACCCGCGTGAATTGTTTCGTACTATTTCTTACCACTTTGGTCCCATCGGAGATTCTGCTGTAGACGGTGAACTTGGTGACTTTTCCGTTGGGGTTTGCCGGAGAAAGCCACGAGACGAGGATGGACCGTCGCGAGGACACCACCGCCTTCAAATCCGACGGTGGAGATGGAACTGGGAACAAAAAATGTTCGAAAATTAAATCACAAAAGTTTTGTGCAAATTCCAACGCCGATTAAGAATTTTGATTTATTTATTAATAAAGATTATATTTTAGCAGATACCGTTTGCAGCCATCAATTGAAATAATTCATTTATATGAAAAATCATGCACAGCCATCAATTGAAATAATTCATTTATATGAAAAATCATTCATTTATATGAAAAATCATGCACAGCCATCAATTGAAATAATTCATTTATATGAAAAATCATGCACAAATTTGTAATTAAAATTTGTAACATGTGTAAAAAATTTGCACAATATTTTATAAAGCCTGGGTATAAATATTATAACAATAACAGCTTCTGGTAGAATTTTCAAAATTCTCTCAAACGAAACGAAACTTCTACTTTTCTACTTGGCATAATTACAAAATTTGTAAGCAAATAAAACATTTGCTCAATGTGGCTGCCTAAATTATAAGAAATCATTGTTTCAAAATAGCTTCGAATTATTTTACAATGGGAAACAAGTTATTGTACGTATGTACATGCAAAACTTCTTTTGAACCCTGGTAGAAATTTATTGTACGTATTTTAGTATATTTTCCAACCTCTCTTCGAATTTAAATTTGCTAAATATTTGCAACCTTAATGAGGGATGAAGATCTTTTCTAAAAAGTTGCGCAATACAAATGAAGTTTTGCACGCAGCTTTCCAGAAAATGCAAATATTTACAATGCTACTTCAAGAGGATTTTGTTACACGAGATTGAAAATGGTAACGAAATGTAAATATTTACCAAGGTCAAGAATTCGGTTTGATGAGTTGTAAATATCAGGAGGAAAGTTTCAAAGGGACAGATTTTTCGACAATACTGTTCTCGAATCATTAACAAGATCCAAATAAAGCGGGGAACATTACGCAGAAAATTTTCATTTCCGGGAAATAACCCGGAAACCATTATTTTATTAAGTAATCTTTCAAAATATAGTAAATTACGTAATTATAATTAACTTTCTAACAGTTGTTTTGAGATTTTACTCAATCTGTTTAAGTGGGACGCCATCCATAATAAAATTTGGAGGAGAGGATATTTTTTCACAGCAAAGATTGAAATCTATATTATCGCAATTGTAAAGAGACAATTAACGCCAATGTTACCGAATTTAATTAACTAATTATTCAAATGAGCAACTTAATTAGTATGATTTTTTTCAAAAATTCATAATATTTTCAATACATAACATTTAAGAGGAACGGGCATTTTTCGTGAATTTATATACGTAAATAATATTGAATAAATTTAATATTTCTACCCGACCAGAATATTACGAATGAATCTTAGAAAAAAATTGTCCTAATTAATTGCTCAATTGCATATTTAATTAATTAATTAAATTGAGCCTACATAGAAATCCAGTTGACTATTTAACTCCGACAAGAAGCACCTCAATTTCCAAAATGTTACTTCTCATTGAATTTTATACTGGACGGCGTCCCACTAAAGCAGTGCAGGTTGTAATTTTGAAAATTGGTAATATTTTTTTGAAAAGTAAGAATTTTTCATTTAACGAAGGACATTTTTATTAATTTCTCGGCTCTGGAAATTTATTTTAAAATTCTGGATGACAAATTACATGCTATAAATTTCCTGATCTCGAATTCTGCCCCAATTTCTGATGCCTCACAATTTTAAAAAGCTCAACTTTCTCTTCGACGACCAGACGATCACTTTAGTGCAATTGGGCAGAAGCGACTTGAGGCTGGAATATTTGCTGGTAAGTTTTTGTGGTTGGGCGAGATTTGATTCGATCATGGTTTGCTTTGATTGCCTGCCTCTCGATCCCCTCCATTTAGTTCGAGATCAAACGCTTCCTATTTCTCGGGAGGAACGGGCAGGAAGGAAATCAGGGCCATCAGCAGTTAACATACAAGAACGTGGGACATTACGTGTTTTTTAGGGGGCTGGGCAGAAAGGATGGGAACAATTTTGTGGGTAATTGGTCACCACCCAAATTTTCTAGGCGATAAGTCGATTCAATGAGAAATGTATATTTATGTAGGTACGTAAGTAGTGTTTTATAAATGTGTATTTTGCAAAGTTTCTGAATATTTTCGAATTTTGTAATAGTTTTTAAAACAATGGTTACGGTGATGTTTTTAACTTATATACATTACAGCAGCGTCGGACATTACATGCTTTTTTAGTGGGCTGGGTAGAAAGGATGGGACCATTTTTCGTGTAATTTGTAACCGTGCAAATTTTCCAGGCAATGAGGAATATACATATTTCTGCAAGTTGTGCTTTGTAAATGTGTAACCAGAATATATTTTGCAAAGTTTCTGACTGTCTTTGCTCACACTGGTCACTAGGATGGTTTTAATTTCGCAAAATTCTTAAAGTTACAATTATTTCGATCGATTTCCAAAAATATGAGGGACAATATGTAATCAGAGTCAGACTACAAGAAATGCATCTGCTAAATTATTTATCTACCTAGTAGTCCCTTAATTAGTGTTACAAGAACAACTTACTGTAACGAACCCAGTTTATAGAATTTCGAAAAAATAAGTACAGAACTGGAAAGCCAATGAAATTTCGTGTAAGAAACATTATTCACTTTTCAAAATGTCAATCTTTTACGGGGACATGGACCCAGAGTCTTGGTTTCCACCACTCGATCGGAGTACGCACGCATTCCAGGGGAGATTGGTCTCATTTCTAGACCGTTGAGTTTTTTGTGGATTCAAAACTTGTGGGGTTTAGCACACACACCTAGCTCCAGTTTGGAAAATATGTCATAGTCCAGAAGCGTAAGCTTCGGCGGCAGTGAATTTTTTCTGGATCCGAAATGGAGTCAGGAATTTTGGATTTTAACCACCCAATTACCATTTTGGCCACATGAACAGGACATGAGCCCTTCTTGAATGTCATTTAGCTATTTTTGAACAGGTTGTGGTTCAAGCGTTTCACACTTAGCTCGAAAACTAAAAAAAAATTTTTGATACGAAATTTCACCCCAAGAGGAAGAAAATCCACTTTTTCGACCTAGTCCAACTTATGTCCAATCAAAAAATCGTAAAACCATTATGGTGGGTACGATGAACATTTTTGAAATTTTTACGAATAGTCTAGACTGGTGGGGTGTAGACACGGTGATTTTTCTATTTTATTTGGCCCCACCCAGAAAGGTTGGCTCATTTGTTGAAAATATCCGTTTCCATTTTTCAAACGCGTACCGCATGATCAGCGTCAGAGTTCTAATGGGTCTATTTTTACTTGGCGAGTGGTTAGGAAGTGTTTCTCCCCATGTCTTGAAGACATAAGTCCAAGGTTTAGTTTAAGGGCACGGGACTTACTTTTACTTCATACGTTCATTTGTGAGGGAAATTTTCTTAGGGCTCGGCATGGATTTGGACGAATCCATTTTTTCGAGACGGTGAATTTTGGTGACCTATTTGACCGTCTCATTCGATTTCTTTTTCGGTCATCGACACTGTCAGTGTCAGTGCACCATTTTATGGTACGGTCGACCACCTTGCAATCGATTCCAATTTTTATTCAACAATTGAAAAATGACAAAATTTTTTGTTAACCAAAATGTTGTTGAAAAATTTCAACACGCTGTTTCTCCTGGTCTGTCACTTTGTGACCTTGGGTCACTACAAACTTCGAAACATGGTTTCGGATAGACAAAAGCATGGAGATTTCAATAAAAAATAGCACAACTTACTAAAAAAATCGTTCCTTGCTTAATTTACCCGGGAAATCTTGTAACAGAAATTGAGGGACTACTGGGTACTGTGGGGAAGAAAAGTATGAGTGAGATTTGACGGGTGCATTGATGTGGCGGTCGCGTAGTATAAAGGTATTACGTCCGGGATCTATCTGGGAGATGCTCCTTTCGAGTAAAGCCGGGGTCGCCTAATTTTTGCACAATACCGTTATTTCTCATTGCTACATGTGGTGGACCAGAAGTTCGTTCTCAATACCTCTCACATGCTAAAGCGGAAGCCCAACCTCCAATCCCTCCTCCAATCAGCTGACTCCCAGAGAGCAGTACTGATTTAACACTGACTCCCAGAGAGCAGTACCTTCTTGCCCAGCGCAAGCATCTTCCCCATATCGTCAGGCCTGTCTCAGTGTAAGCCGCACAGATCGCATCATGAGCAGGAGTGACATCATCTCTGTATCCCAACTCCCTCCCAAGGTTCGGGGACCGAACCTACTTTCGCAAGGGCATATACTGTGGGGAAGAAAAGTATGAGTGAGATTTGACGGGTGCATTGATGTGGCGGTCGCGTAGTATAAAGGTATTACGTCCGGGATCTATCTGGGAGATGCTCCTTTCGAGTGGAGCCGGGGTCGCCTAATTTTTGCACAATACCGTTATTTCTCATTCCTACAGTACTGCAGAGATCGAGGGCGCCTCTGCATGTATTTTTTGTATGGAATGCTGCAAAACTTTAAAGTAGAGTTTACTGGGTTTCCAAAAAGACGATTGAATGGTTCAAAATATAATTTTGGAGTTAAAGGGTTGTTATAGGGTCAACTGGGGCAAGAGCGAGTGAATTTCATCAAACTTATCATGCATAGAGTTACAAATTATGAACAACTCAATTTCAAAAATTGCAAATTGTGATAAGGCATCGTAAATTAGGTCGTCCAAGATTGTTAGTAAAGAAAATTAAAAATATTCAAATTAGAATGAGTTATTTAAAATTAAGTATGTGAGCGCACTCGCCCCACGGTTTTGCAGAATCTGGGGCAAGTGTGATTTTTCGTGGGGCAAGAGTGCTTATATCAAAAACTAGTCCGATATTTATCCAGAAGCTGCAATAACTGTTTTTAACAACAAATAAGGCTATTACCAACAATTTGTGTAGCTATTTAATCAATTATTAAGTAGCGTCAGCTACTTATTGCGATCGTTTTGTCCGTCCGTCCGTCTGCGGTCTGTAAGCAGGATATCTCCACAACGAGTTAACATAATCAAACACCGTTTTC